CTACATATATTTGGAAAGTTGATGGCCAGCAATTTTCAAAATTGCACCGTAAAAAATATAATTGTATTTATTTATTTTGGCTGTGCTGGGTCTTCACTGCTGTGCAGTCTTCCTTCTAGTGTGGAGAGTGGGGGCTGCTGTCCACCTGCGGTGGGCGGGCTTCGCATTCTGGGGGCTTCTCTCGTGGAGCACTGGCTCTGTGGGGCGTGGGCTTCAGTGTTGGTGGCGTGCGGGCTCCGTCGTTGTGGTTCCCAGGCTCTGGAGCACAGGTGCCGTAGCTGTGTGCCCAGCTGAGCTGCCCTGCAGCGTGTGGGATCTTCCCAGACCAGGGATCAAATGCTCATCTCCTGCACGGGCAGGCAGATCCTTTACCACTGAGCCGCCAGGGAAGCCTGGAATCGCGCTTTTGGATTTGATATCTCTAATGCCTTTAAGGGCTTCCCCGGTGGTTCAGTGGTTAAAGAACCCGCCTGCCAGTACAGAAGACGAGAGTTTGACCCCTGGGTCGGGAAGATCCCCTGGAGAAGGAAATGGCAACCCACTCCAGTCTTCTTGCCTGGGAAATCCTGTGGACAGAGGAGCCTGGCGGCTATAGTCCATGGGGTCACAAAAGAGTTGGATGTGACTTAATGACTAAAAAGCTACAACAACAATGTCTTTAAACTTTCCCATTTTACCACTTGATTCAGAAACATAATTAAGAACAATTAAAAAACAAGGTATGTGACAACAGTTTGTAGACTATATTACTAATTGCATAATACACTCTCTCTATATTTATAAAATATATTTGTATTTATGTATGTGAAGAAATATATGTGTATTTTTTGTATATATATAGTTTATCTGTAGACGGATGGATAAGTAACTAGTAACTCACTAGTAACTCTAAGCATCCAGGCAGAACTACATGTCTGAGAACACAGATGAGAAGACTTTTAGAGCCTCTGTGCCTTTTCAGTTTTAAACTATGTGAATGTACTATCTAATCAAAAGTTAGTTAAATTAAAATTATTTTTAAAAAAGAATTCTTCCCTTAAAAAAGGATTTTTACCATTATTAAACTTTTTTTTTAAGATTTAGCTTTTTTCTTTAAAAAATTTTGGTCTTAGTAACATTATTGTATTTTTCATAGTTTGTATATATGGCTACTTACTTTCACTTTTTGTAGAATAACCTTTGAATTACCTGATAAGCACTAAGTGTTTTAGAATTGCCAGATAGAAAGTTTACTATTCTAAAATAAATACAAGTTTACCAACCATTTGGTCGGTAAAAAAATCCATTTGCTTTGCCTCACCTAGCAAATTAAATATCATCAGCAATTTATTCAGCTCAAATTTAATGAGTGGAAGAAGATTTACGTACAAGAACACTCAGGCCAGCTTGGTTTGGAAAAATATCTTTGTCTCGTTGGCTAGGTAGTGCTTGTGGGGAAAAAAATGTGAAAGTGTTAGTCGCTCAGTTGTGTCTGGCTCTTTGTGACCCCATGGGCTGTAGCCCACCAGGCTCCTCTGTCCATGGGATTCTTCAGGCAAGAAAACTGGAGTGGGTAGCCGTTCCATTCTCCAGAGGATCTTCCCTGCTCAGGGATTGAAGTCTGGTCTCCTGCATTGTAGGCAGATTCTTTACCATCTGAGCCATAGCTAGTGCTTAGACCTTACAAATACAACTCTCTTGACAGAATGTCCATTTCATTATCTTATAAATGCTTTCCATTTGGTGGGATTAGTTCTTACTGGAGATTATAAATTCTGAGTGGGCCTAATGATGGGCAGTTTGTGTGATTACAGGAGTTCCAGCATAAGAGAGATGAGACATCAACAGCAGAAGGTTACTGGCAGTATTTCCACTGAGTTTGGGTCTACCTTGATTGCAAAGGCAGCTCCCCTTTTATTGGCACCCTTACTCAAGCTTCTCTGGATTCCTGATCACAAATTCTAAATGTTGATACACTTCCTGAGACCTAAGCATTGAGATTAGTCCATGAAGTTAAACTTTACATTGATATAAGGAAGTTTTAAAAACTCCGTGAAACATAACTCTTGTAACCTTGTCCCTGGTTTTTACTTTGTGAACTGAGAGTACAGGTTGGTGGGGGGTGGGGGGACAGAGGAGTTGAGCAGCAGTAGGTGGCTCAGTGGCAAAGAGTACACCTGCCAAGCAGGAGTTGTGGGTTCGATCCCTGGGTTGAGGTGATCCCCTGGAGAAGGAAGTCGCACCCCACTCCAGTACTCTTGCAGGGGAGGTCCCATGGACGGAGGAGCCTGCAGGGCTACAGTCCATGTGGTCACAAAGAGTCGGACATGACTGAGCAGCCAAACAACAATACGTGTGTATGGTAGGGCCACAGTGCTCAGAGGGAGGCAGCAATGAAAAGGGGTGGAGTAGGGAGGAATTGAGGTTTATGTGAAGGCTTTCCAGAAGAGGTGACACTCAGACTGAATTTTAAAGGTTGCGGAAGAATCCAGGCAAGAGGGAAAGGAAGTTTTAGGCAGAGGAATGGGCATCTAAAATGGCACAGAAATATGAAGGCCCACTGGTTGAACTACAGGCACTTCAGCATGGCTTTGGCTCAGAGTAAGGGCAATTATAATGGTTGGAAGAGTGGACTAGGTCGAGATCCGCAATTTGGAATTTATCCATAGGTGGTATATGTTTAGCAATGTAGGCAGGCTTACAAACTTGGAGAGATCACCCTGAAAGTTTGTGGGAGGCAGGGCAAGACCAGAGGCAGGTAATCCACTTTGAGGGGCTTCCCAGATGGCCCTCGTGGTAAAGGACTCGCCTGCCAATGCCGTAGACATGAGAGACGCGGGTTTGATTCCCTGGGTCTGGAAGATGCTCTGGAGGGGGACATGGCAACCCACTCCAGTATTCTTGCCTGGAGAATCCCATGGACAGAGGAGCCTGGTGGGCTACAGTCCACGGGGTCACAAAAGAGTCGGACACAACTTAGACTAAACAACAATCCACTTTGACAGCTCTTAGAATAGTTCTGACCTGAAGTCAGATATTAGACTAGGAGATGTCCTGGTGGGTGGGGATGGAGAGGAGATAGATTTGAAAGATATTCGGAAGGTAGAATTGACAGGGCTGAGGAAGTACAGGGTGAGGTGCAGAGAAGACCAGGATGTCAAGGCATTTGGATGAATGGGGGTTCATAACGGAGTTAGAGAATAAGGAAGGAGGAACAGGTTTGGAGAAGAAAATGAGGTCCGTTTGGGACAGTGACTTTGAGGTGCCTATGGCGCAGGAGAGCTGGAGGCGTTTGGAGTCTTCAAGTCTGTAGGCACTGGCTCGGGATGATTGAGGCCGTGGAGGTCGGGGTTCTTGTTTCATCTTATGCATCTTTTCCTCAGCACGAATCACAGAGCTTTGTGTGTAGCGTGAGAGTGAGTCACTCGTTTGTTCCAAGATGTGATCTTGAATCTTGGGGAAGTCATTTCCTCCCATGGCTTGTCTCTCTGTAGGTGGGGAAGTTGAACTAGATCAGTGGCTCTCCACCAAACTTTTGCTTTAGTCTGGTATGTTGGGATTAATTGTGAGGAATGGCCAGTCATTTTTAATTAATAATAAAGAGCTGATGTTTGCTTGCCTTTTAAATGAGAGTTGGTTTGTTACTCTTTAAATAACAAACAATATTTTACTAAAACATAAGATTTACCAAAATTTCCAGACAAACCATACAAAATGGTCACAAGCTTTTTCTTAAAGGGAGAATTCTTCACTTGACAGCTAACACAGTGTTATTGGTGAGTTTGCTTAATGTTCCCATTTTGGTTCAATCACGCTTGTCCAGCTATAGCGTCTAAATTAAGTTAGACTTGATTAGAGACCATATTCTGAAGAACTGATTACTTGCTTTTAACCAATGCAATTAGATCACCATAAAAGGGGGGAAAGGAGCCCATAAAATTAAAATAAAACTATCTTTCCCTCACCAAAAAAAGAGAGAGAGAGAAACAGTCACACCCCTGCAACTAATCCTGACAGCCAGCTTCATTCACAGTGGTGGTGGTTCACTCACCACGTTGGGTTTGACTCTTCCGACCCTGTGGACTGGAGTCTCCCAGGCTCCTCTGTCCATGGGACTTCAGGCAGGAATGCTGGAGTGGGTTGCTATTTCCTTCTCCAGGTGCTTTATACTTAAACCATGATGAGGAGAATGAATAAAAGCAGAAAGAAGCTATTGCTTTTACACATTTCACCGCAATCCAAATGATACTTCTAGCCTCTGCTCATGCTGATTTACAACAGTGAATGAGGACAAGACATAGATAGATCTGCTCATGTGCATTTAATCAGCAAAGGACTGATGGCATCTGGGCTTTTATTCTGTAATGTTTCTAAGACTGTATCCATTAAATGCAAACACAAAAGGAAGAAGTCTTGGCAGAACAGGGGAAGCGATGCATACTTGGTGATTGATGAATTTAAGTATTATCTGTGGCGTATAGCCTCGCCCATGCTTCAGCTGTTTCTATGGCTTGGGCTTCGTTGGTCTTCCACTGCTCGGCTACATCATTTGTTAATGGATCATCTGGACTGGGAGCACTTAACAGAGTCTGGATGGATAGCAGAACTATCCACATCTGCAGTGCTGGGGTCTACTTGTCTTTCAAAATATCTAAACATTCTTCCCAACTTGTCCACATTAGGATGATAAATTCAGGTCATGAAACATACTTTGGGGGCTGCCATTGGGTATTCTTCTGAAGGGATGGTTCAGGTTTAAAAGTCCCTCCCTTTATCCCTATACTGAATGGTGGTTAAAGACTTAAGACTGCAAAATTTTATGTTTATATCTGGGATCTGTCATTCTGATTATAAATAAATTTTTTTGTCTCTGTAATGTCTTCTTATTGAAGTATAGTTGAACGACAGTTAATTACTGTTGTGCAGCAAAGTGACTCAGTTATACATACATACGTTCCTTTTGTATTCTCTTCCATTATGGTTTGTCACAGGATACTAATTTTTTATTTTTGCAACTTCAGGAACTCTATTTTCAGAACCTCTCAAAAAGAAAACAAGTCATGGAGAAGAAAGAGAATAACCGAAAGCTTCGGGTTTGTGTTGCTACTTGCAACCGTGCTGATTATTCTAAACTTGCCCCCATCATGTTTGGCATTAAAATGGAACCTGAGTTCTTTGAACTTGACGTGGTGGTACTTGGCTCTCACCTGATAGATGACTATGGGTAAGATGAAAGCATTTTCTTATGATATTCTACATTGCAACATGGTGTACTACAGAGAACTTGGGTCCTGGGGCCATGTGAGCCCAGCTTCAAATGCCAGTTCTACCACTTAGTTTTTAGGTGGCCTTGGAGACGTTGCCTAGCACTTCTGAGCTTCAGGTTCCTCAGTTATAAAACGGAGTGGAAACTTGTATTGCAGGTTACTGTGAAGAATGGAGATAGTGACATAAAGTGTCTATACAGGGATGCTGCCTATTAGATGCTTGGTAAATTATAGCCATTATTATTATTACTACTGTTATTTGCTACTACATTCAGAAATGCCATTTATAAATGTATATTGTGTGACTATAATGATATTCTATACAACTTATTTTGTGAGTTCTAATGCTAATCGTACATGAAAAAACTGTGTATAAAGTAGTAGATACTGAACAAGATTTTAAAAATCGAATCTATGAGATAGAGTAGAACTACCATTACCATTGATACTTATTTTGATGACATTAGGTTTGTTATTGATCACAGTCTAAATCTGAAAGATGAAACGGGAAATCTTTGAGGGAGCAGAAAGAGTGTATGTACCAAAGATGAACGTGCGTTGTTATGTGTTAATAATAGAGTGGCTCTAGTGCACCCTTGTGGCATGAAAACAGTGATGCAGCCTCTGAAGAAGGTAAAAAAATACGATATGAAAGAAGCTTGTGTTAAGGTAAAACTGTCTTTTTCAGACTGTCCTTTAACAATAAGATAATAACAGCAAAAACAAAAACTGCTTCCAAAAACAAATTTGGCAATTTGCGATAAGAAAACACTTTTAAAGACTAGAGCAAAAACTTATGGATAGCTTAAAAGTTCATAGGTTTTTAAAATGTGAAATGAGTTTTGGCTATCTAAGAAGACCCACTTGAGTGTTCTTACATTATTGAACAGAAACTGGACAAAGTAAAAGAGGAGTTTCCGTTACAACCTGAGGTAGAAATCTAAGCGTGTTCTTTTACTTCTTTGAGAGAAGTTTGGCAGAAGACTGGTAGGGGAGAGGCTTTCAAAGAGATGGTGGCAGGTTTCTTACCTGCCTACCATAGTAATTAAGGGGGAAGGTAGTGTTTGTCAGGCGAGGCTGTTAAAATGGAAACTTGACTGGTACTTACTGGAAATATTTGTCTGTAGTGCATTCTTGCACAAGAAATTGGTTGCTTATGGGGAGAAGCATTGGATGACTGGAAAACAAAAGTGGGAAGTAGCCTTTTCACTGCATAGCCTTTTGTATCCTGAGTTTTAAACCATGTGGTTGTATTGTTTAGGAAGACGTTAGGGCTCCCCTGGTGGCTCAGTGGTAAAGAATTCACCTGCCAGTGCAGGAGATGTGGGTTTGATCCCTGGTCAGGGGAGATCCCACGTGCCATGGAGCAGCTAAGCTCTTGGGCCACAACGACTGAGCCTGTGCTTAGAGCCAGGGAACTGCAACTGCTGAAGCCCAAGTGCCCCAGAGCCCGTGCTCCACGGCAAGAGAGGCCACCAGTGAGCGAAGCCTGGGCACTGCGGCTGGAGAAGGGCCCACGCAGCGACGCACCCAGCCCAGCCGAAAACAATACATAGATAAAACCACAGGAAAGAAAGAAGACGCTCAGTCAACAGAAGCAGTTAGCTACCTTTCTACCTCAACTAGTTGGATATTTTTTTAAAACATCATTTTTATACTCTTAAGAATTGGGCTAAAAAATTCAAATGAATAACAGACTCCTTAGGAATTCATTGGTTCATTTATTCAGCACATTTTTTTTCAGATTGGCATTACAGGTTTTTTTGTTTTTTGAAGTATAGTTGATTACAATATTGTGCTAACGTCTGCTATATAGCAAAGTGACTCAGTTATACGCACATATACATTCTTTTTTGTATTCTTTTCCATTATGGTTTATCCCAGGAAATTGGATATCGTTCCCTGTGCTATATGTACAGCAGGATCTTGTTGTTTATCCATTCTAAATGTAATAGTTTGCATTTACTAACCTCACCCTCCCAGTCCATCCCTCTTCCTTCTCTGATCGCCCTGGCAACCACAAGTCTATTCTGGATGTCTGTGAGTCTGGTTTTTGTAGATAGGTTCATTTGTGCCAAATTTCATTTCATATATTAATTTGGCCACACAGCGTGGGCTTATGGGATCTTAGTTCCCCGACGAGGGATTGAATCCTGACCCTCAGCAGTGAAAGCACCAAACCACTGGGCTGCCCAGAAGTTCCCTGAATTACCTATTTCTTCTTGATTCAGTTTTGGTGGGCTGTATGTTTTGTATGTTTCTAGAAAGTTGCCCATTTCTTTTGAGTTGTCAAATTTGTTGGCATATAATTGTTCATAGTATTCTCTTAGGGGTTTTTGTATTTCTTGGTAGCAGTTGAAATTTCTCCTTTTATATTTCTAATTTTTTAAAAATTTGAGTTCCTGTTTTTCTTTTGGTGAGCCTGGCTAAAGGTTTGTCAGTTTTGTTTACCCTTTCAAAGAATCAGCTCTTGGTTTTACTGATTTTTTTTTCAATTGTTTTTTTAAATCTCTATTTTATTTCCTCTCTGATATAAATTTATATTTTATTTCCTTCATCCTGCTGACTTTAGGTTTTGTTTGTTCTTTTTCTAATTATTTTAGGTGGTAGGTTAGGTTGTTTATTTGAGATTTTTCTTATTTTTTTGAGGAATATCTGTATTGCTATGAACTTCCCTCTAAGAACTACTTTTGCTGCATCCCATAGGTTTTTGTATAGTTGTATATTCCTTGTCATTTGTCTCAAGGTATTTTTAAATTCTGTTTTGATTTTCTCACTTACCACTCCCCAACCCCCTTATTTTAGTAGCATGTTGTTTAATATCCATGAAATCATTTTTTTCCTTTTTTTTTTCTTGTAATTGATTTCTAGTTTTGTGCTCTATTGCAAAGGGATTCTGATTATGGTTACTGATTCAGATGGTTAGGTATGAACATTCTGTAGGTAGGACAGTCTCAGAATTAAAGCTGTGTCGCAATCTTAGAAGACATACCTGCCAGAGGTTTCCAAATTTGGTAAAACAAACAAACAAACCAGAAAAACCCAACATTGATGTACATATACAGAAAGGTCAACAACCCTTAATAGATAAATACAAAGAAAACTACATGTAGACATAGCATAGTCAATTTGTTGAAGACAAGAAGATCTTGAAAGCAACAAGACCAAAGATTGCATTTCTTGCAGGGGAACTAACGCTAAGAATAATTAACTCACTGACAGTGGAGGCCAGAAGACAGTGAGGCATCTTTAATGTGCTCGGAAAAGGGGAAGAACCTCTGCTGGCCCAGAATCGTTTATCCAGTGAATGTACCTTTTAAAAATAAAGTTGAAGCAAAGATATTTTCAAAGAAAAGCTAAGCAAATTATCACCAGCAGGTATGTGCTGCTAAAAATGCTAAGGCAGATTCTTGAAAACCGAAGAGAAATGATACCTGTTGGGAACTTACATCTACAGGAAGGAGTAACTACAAATGGTAAAATACATGCGCATATATAAAAGAAAGAATGCCTTTAAAAAATAGATTTTAGTTTTTAGAATAGTGTTAAGTCCTGCAGCAAAATTGAGCAGAAGGTACAGAAGTTACCCATATACCTCTCTTCCTCTATACATACATAACATCCCCCACTATCGGCATCCCCTACCATACCTCATTGGTACGTACTGTTCAAATGATGCACCTCCACTGACACCTCATTATCACTCAAAGTCATAGTTTAATTGGTTTCAACTTGGTGGTGTAAGTTCTATGGGTTTGGACAAATGAATATTGACATCTATCTACCGTTATAGTATCACAGAGTCATTTCACTGTTTAGTTCAGTCAGTCAGTCGTGTCCAACTCTTTGCGATCCCGTGGACTGCAGTACGCCAGGCCTCCTTGTCCATCACCAGCTCCCAGAGTTTACTCAAACTCATGTCCATTGAGTTGGTGATGCCTTCCAACCATCTCATCCTCTGTCATCCCCTTCTCCTCCCGCCTTCAATCTTTCCCAGCATCAGGGTCGTTTCAAATGAGTCAGCTCTTCAGATCAGATGGCCAGAGTATTGGAGTTTCAGCTTCAGCATCCGTCCTTCCAGTGAATATTCAGGACTGATCTCCTTTAGGATGGACTGGTTGGATCTCCTTGCAGTCCAAGGGACTCTCAAGAGTCTTCTCCAACACCACAGTTCAAAAGCATCAATTCTTCAGTGCTCATTTCACTGTTCACTGTCTCCCAAATCTTCTCCTCTACCCATTCATCCCTTCCTCTCCCCCCAACCCATTTCCTGGCAGTCACTGATCTTTTTACCATTTCCATAGATTTTTTTGCCTTTTCCAGAATGTCATATTGTTGGAATATCCTATATTATGTAGCCTCTTCTTTCATTTAGTAATATACTTTTGAATTTCCTTTATGTATTTTCTTAGCTTGATAGTTATTTCTTTTCAGTGCTGAATAATATTGCATTGTGTGGATGTATGATAGTTTATTTCTGCATTCTCTTACTGAAGGATATTTTGATTGCTTCCAAGTATTGGCAATTATGAATAAAGCAGATTTTTGTAGATTTTTGTGTAATGTAAGTTTTCAGCTCCTTTAGGTAGATCAAGGAGCATGATTGCTCCTTGTAAAAAAGTATGTTTAGTTTTGCAAGAAACTGACAAACTGTCTTCCAAAATGGCTGTATCATTTTGTATTCCTCCAACAATAAATGAGAATTCCTGTTGCTCCATATCATTGCCAGAATTTAGTGTTGTCAGTGTTCTGGATTTTGTCCATTCTAATAGGTGTGTAGCAGTATCTCTTTAATTTGCATTTCCTTGATGACATGTGATTTGGAGCATCTTTTCATATGCTTATTTGCCATCTTTATATCATCTTTGGTTTAACCCATTTTTAAATTAGGTTGTTTATTGTTGAGTTTTAAGCTCAGGGGCCAAACAAGAAATCCTAAGGGAAATTAGAAAGTATTTTGACCTAAATAAATATTACAGTGTCTCAAAATTTGTGGTTATAGATTAATCAGGGCTTGTGGGGAAATTTATCATTTTAACTATTAATACTTATGTGAAAAAAAGAGGTTAGAGTCAAGGATCCATTTCCACTTTAATAAACAAGAAAGAAAATGAAGCCCAAAGTAAGTAGAAGGGAGGATCAAGGACCAATAGAGTCAAAATCAATGAAATGTAAAAGTAGACTAAACAATAAAGAAAGTTAATTGAGCTAAAAGTTATTTGTTTAAAATAATAAAATCAACAAGCTTCTGCAGAACACGGAAGGGGTAACAGAAGTTACCAGCATAGGATAACACAGAGGACCTCACTGCTGATCTCAGCCATTAGAAGAGTAAAAGGAGGCTATTAGGCCAGTAAATTGACAATCAATTTAGATGAAATGGACAAGCTTTTGAAAAATACAGCTTACAGCATTTTTTTCTACAGAAAAGATAGAAAATCTCAATAGCTCTATATTAAGGAAATTTGGTTCATTACCAAACCCTATAAAAATAACTTCCTACAGAGATACCTTCACTTTTGAATCCTATCAAACATTTAAGATCCCATTAAATTCCTATGGGAATTCTCAGAGGATTTTCTTTATTTACAGTGTCATAGCTTTTGTAGGAAAATCCAAAGAAATCTATAAAATGACTGCTAAACCATTTATATGATGTATGTAAAAAATCCTTCATAATCTGAGAAAATATCATAGTGTTAAATGGGTTAAATAGATTACAAAATTGTACTGTGATGTATTCTCAATCATGTTAAAATATTATGGGAAAAAATGATGTATAAAGTGGTTAGAAAGAGGGACTTCCCTGGTGGTGCGGCGGTTAAGACTCCATGCTCCCATGTAGGGGGTGCGGGTTGGATTCCTGGTCAGGGACCAAGATCCCACATGCCACGTGGTATGGCAAAAAAAAAAAGAAAGAAATCATGGTAATAATGATGGTGCTTAGTGGTAGGTTTATGCATGATGATTTTCTGTATTTTTCTAATTTTTAAGTAATGTTTTATATATTTCCAGAAAAAAAGTCACATCTTTTAAAATCTAGTCATAACAAACAGGAAACTTTAAAGCATTGAGAATTGCTATCGCTGTTGAAGCATGAAACAGACTTGAAACTGCATTTTACAGCCAATTTAAGCCCACATTTTCACCCCAGTCAGAATTATGCTGCATGAATGGTACCATACGAAGAGAATTCAGGAGATAATTCCCATCATGCAGATATTTATAATATAGTACCATATCAGGTATCCCGGTTCCATACTACTTTTTAGGAGCATTTATAAGTAACATTTTTTCTGTTAAGTAGCATGATTTCTTTTAAAAAATTTATATATATTTTTCAGTTCAGTTTAGTTGTTCAGTTGTGTCCGACTGCAGCACGCCAGGCCTTCCTGTCCATCGCCAACTCCTGGAGTTTACTATGAGTAAACTCATGTCTCATGAGTAAACTCATAAGTCTACTCTTGAGTTTACTCATGTCCGTTGAGTCGGTGATGCCATCCAACCATCTCATCCTTTGTCATCCCCCTCTCCTCCTGCCCCCAATCTTTCCCAGCATCAGGGTCTTTTCTAATGCGTCTGTTCTTCGCATCAGATGGCCAAAGTATTGGAGCTTCAGCTCCAATGAATATTCAGGACTGATTTCCTTTAGGATGGACTGGTTGGATCTCCTTATGGTCCAAGGGACTCTCAAGAGTCTTCTCCAACACCACAGTTCAAAAGCATCGATTCTTGGGTGCTTAGCTTTCTTTACAGTCCAACTCTCACATCCATATATGACTACTGGAAAAACCATAGCTTTGACTAGACGGACCTTTGTTGGCATATAATATTTTTAAAAGGAAAGAAAAAGTTGTGATCACTGTAAAATTTAGTATCTTTTTTCCTAATAAAAAATTCTCCCTCCAAAGTTCTCCCTCCAGGTGCTCACTGAAGCAGGGCACAGGTGAGACCTGCAAGGTGTGGGAGGTGTTGATCTAGGTGGTGACTACAGGGGTGTTTGTGTAGAAAAAGTAATCAAGTGATCTGTATATTTATAGCCTATGCTTTTAATTTTTGTGTGTAAGTTATACTTCAGTTTATTTTAACAAGGAAATTTTGTGAAATATTTCTCCCTTCAGAGTTAATGTTGATGTTTTTATAGCCCTATATTGAAGAACATGCTCTCACATTTTTATTTCTCCCTGCTTTAGAAACACGTATCGCATGATTGAACAAGATGACTTTGACATTAACACCAGGTTACACACGATTGTCAGAGGGGAAGATGAGGCAGCCATGGTGGAGTCAGTAGGCCTGGCCCTTGTGAAGCTACCAGATGTCCTGAATCGCCTGAAGCCTGACATCATGATTGTCCATGGAGACAGGTTTGATGCCCTGGCGCTGGCTACCTCTGCTGCCTTGATGAATATCCGGATCCTTCACATTGAAGGGGGGGAGGTCAGTGGGACCATTGACGACTCCATCAGACACGCCATAACGAAGCTGGCTCATTATCACGTGTGCTGCACCCGAAGCGCAGAGCAGCACCTGATATCCATGTGTGAGGACCACGACCGCATCCTGCTGGCAGGCTGCCCCTCCTACGACAAGCTGCTCTCCGCCAAGAACAAGGACTACATGAGCATCATTCGGATGTGGCTAGGTATGTCTCAGACTTTATTCAGTCTAGTAGTTGCTTTTGTCCCAAAGTTTGGTTATGTTTCAGTCTTTTTGGTAACTGTTGTATATAGAAGGTACCATTAGCAGTCGGAAGGCTAAAATTTTAGTTCATAAATCTTGCCCTGTGGTATGACTTCACCTCTCTGAGACTCATCTTTTCTAAAAGGTAGGCTTAATGGACTGAATTTTTAAAATCTATGCTATTTTTATATAACAGAATGATTTTCATCTGTTAAATACAACGTTACAGGTGAATATTTAGTTACAGGGACAGATCCTGACATATCAAAAAGGGAAAAAAGGAACCTACAAATTGTATAATGTGATGCTATTTTATAAAAAACAATAGCATAACAGAAAAGTTGATAAGTATGTACACCAAATCATTTATAATATTTACTTCTGGTTAGTAGAATTATGGGTATCTTTTTTCCTTTGTTTTTTTAGCACAATGAAAAAAATTAATGCCTTTCTTATGGACTTGTTAAAATACTCAGATGAGATAATGTTGAAAGCAGTAAGCCATAAGTACTTTTAAGGGATTATGATTATTGTTAAAAAGCAGAAGTCATAGTTGTGCAATTAGAGTTTGTTAGCCCTGTAAATAAGCCTTAAGGAAGGTTGTTCATTTATCTTCATATCAATGATCTAGATTCCTGGAAGTTACTTTTTGCTAATCAGAGGCAAAGAAAAAAGATTTGCAAACAATGTCAGTTGGTTAATTTATAATGAGAGTGCTATCTTGAGGATAAATCAGAACTAATTGTCTGTTTAGGTATTTAGGACTCTCTGTGAAAAGGTAGATCAGTTGAATAATGAAGTTAATGAATAGTAAATTAATCTAGTGGTTGTATAATTTAAGATTTTAAATCCAGATCACATTAGAACAGGAAAGAAACTGAATTTTTTTTACTCTATAGTTTAGCCCATTCTGTGTATTTCTTACCCCTGGACGGATTTGTAGCTGTCAGGGAACCTGTCGAGATAATGCTAATGTAACAGACTTCCGTCTCTCAGTCTCCCCTTCCTTCATGCTTCTAAGTAAGCATTCCTGCACTCTGGTTATACTGTTAGCTTTGTATGTCTTCTGAAAAACTTGTAATGAATAAAAAATAACCCTTATAAAGCAGAATACAACAAATTTGTACTTGCAGGGCTTCAGGTTCTATTTGGAACTTCTATTTGGAACCATTTAAGCAGTTTCTCTGTGAAAAGAAGAATGACAAAATAGTAAAAACTGGATTTTTTTTTTAAGCCAGTGGGAGAAAATAAGAATTTTCTGGAAAGCTTTTACCTGCTTCTGACCTACAATTTCTGATGTTATCCTTCTCCTTATAGGAAAAATAGCATTGGGTAAGCCATTCAAACATGCAGCTTTGTAACCAGAATATTAATAAATAACAGTCCTAATAAAAAATATTAGCAAAGTTAAAAAGATATGTTAACATTTCTAATAATGAAAGAAATACCATAGTAAATATAGAACTTTTGACACGAAACCAAATAATGGTACTATAATGGAAAGGCTTTAAATAAATGGTTTAAATGTGTGGAAGGACTGAAGCTGCTGAGTTCTGGAGACAAAGGCAGATAATGTCAAAGTTATACATCACATCGAGGAACCAGTGTGGGATTTGCACAGAATATGTTATTACTAGGGATGGGTAGCTCCAGCCCATTGTCCTGTGTTTTCTTTTTCATTTTTTTTTTAAGATGTCTAATTTTTGCTCTTCTGTTTTCCCTTTTTAATGAAGAAACTGCTTAAATGGCTCCATATAGAGCCTTAAGTTACAAAGTGCAGTCCTGCTGCATTCTGCATTATAGGGTTATTTTCTGTATACTACAAATATTTCTCAATCACACTTAAAGTAGAAGATAAATGAGGTGTGGAAAGCTTTCACGGGGTAAACTGTCGGAATTTTTCTTCCTCTTCACCTTCCACTTGCCCCTTAGCAGTACATTGTGTAGAATGATCCTCTGTGTGGGACTACAAAAGCTCTGTTCATCCCCACTCTCAAAGAAACATTGCCACCAAAAAAGAAAGGCAAAAAGATCAAAGAGACTTACCCAATAAGTGTTCTCAAGGCAGAGAACATGGGCAGACTGAACTCCAAGAAAGAGCGTGGGGTGAGGGGCCTGGTGACAAATACACTATTTCACCACAGCTTGTCTACATTTGCTTTAAGGTTCTTAGCAGTCAGTCTTGGGGAATCATGAATGAATAACTCAGCTACTGCATTAAAGGTTGACATCATTCCTCTGTTTACCGGTCACAGATGAGCTGATTCACATTGTAGAAGTAACACATCATAGTGGGACTCACTTGTACCTGTGGCCAGATTGCAGCATACACGTTTCCATATCTGTTACAGCAGACACCTCTTTTGTTGGTTTCCTTCTCTGCAAGTTTTTAATTCTCTTTGAACTAGTTTCTTTCTAATGGCCTTGCTCTCTATCTAATAGATTACCTGAGTTTGTGTTGATGGCATCTTTGTTTTTGATAGAGTCTTTTAGGTCTTTAGACCTTTTTTCTGCTTTGTACCAAAATGTAATGATGATATCCCCATGCCACCCCCAGTTTAGAACATGATGGGTCCAATAATTTTTTTAAATAAAATTTTGGAGCCGGTGGTCTTTTGAATAATACTGAAGATTCTTAGTAACAGCTCTCTTACTATTACATCATAAAAAATAACTACTACTGGTTGAATTTGGATTAATGATAAACATAGTTCACGATAAAGTTGTTCATTAAAATTAGTATCACAAAGAAATTTATTCGTTCATTAAAACTTAGTGAGTAGGAGCTTCCCTGGTGGCTTAATGGTAAAGAATCGGCCTGCCAGTGCAGGAGAAACAGGTTTGATCTCAGGTCCAGGAAGATCCCACGTGCCACGGAGCAGCTCAGCCTCTACACCACAGCTACTGAGCCCGTGCTCCCGAGCCCAGGAGCCGCGGTTACTGAAAGCCGAGTGCCCTAGAGCGCGTGCTCACGGGCCCGGGAGCTGCGTTACTGAAAGCCGAGTGCCCTAGAGCGCGTTCTCCGCAGCAGAAGCCCGAGCACCACAAGGAAGAGGAGCCGCCGCCCACTGCAACTAGAGGAAGCCTGCGTGAAGCAACAGCAGTTGCTGCCCAGCGCAGCAAAAATAAATAATTTTTAAAAATTAGCAAGTAGAACTCATTTCCAGTTCTATGGGATGACATAGGCGCTGTTGCAAAATGGTTTGTTATTTGACATAGCACTCTTCATCCAAATTTTTACATTTTACATTTTTGCTGAGGAACTGTCCTTGAGAGCCCTGGGAATGAGTTAAGCCTTTCTGGTCTTTTGAACAGAGTTAGAAACACTGGCATTCTATTGAATCTGGTAAGTGAGAGTGGGGAAGCTCCTGTGCATTATATGAAATTTACTTAATGCTCAACCAGTCTCTGATTTGCAACACATTATTACTCATTGATGATAAGTCATTAGAAACACCAGTTACAAACTGGAAAGAGTCGCATTTTTCTAACACTTTGAAATATTTTGGATTTTAAAACAATGAAGTCTAGTGTCTGCTGTTTAAAGTTTTATATTTTGTTTGTGGTAGCAAGCACCTTTGTAAAATGTTAAAAGTCTGCTGAAGAACCCTTGGACTTGTTGCTAAAAGTTCTTATTGTTAGATCCCAATTTACATGCCCTGCTCAGACTGTGACAAACTGTTTTTTCCTTAGAATTTTTAAAAGCATAGACTTCGGGGTCTTGCTTTTCAGAATTTGCTCCTTCCTCCTATAAGATTCTTAATTACTGAAGCCATGTGATTTGATTTTCTTTAAACAGGTGATGATGTAAAACCTAAAGATTACATCGTTGCTCTCCAGCACCCTGTGACCACTGACATTAAGCATTCCATAAAAATGTTTGAATTAACATTGGATGCACTTACCTCATTTAACAAGCGGACCCTAGTTCTGTTTCCTAATATTGATGCAGGTAATTGAACTTGAAAATGAAAGTATGCCACCTACCTTTCCAGGTTTTGTTTCTATCATGTCTTCTTTTGACTGACATTCCCGTCCTGCTCATCTTATCATTGAAGGCCATTCTATTCTGAAATGTATTCTGATTTTCAAAGGGTCACCAATTTTTCAGTAGATTGAAGAGTTTGTGATATTATTGTCAAGTCTAGTAGAAACTTAATAGGAAGGAAATACTTCTAAATCTCCACTCTGTATTTTCATGTTTAGTCTCTTCCCTCCAGTTTCCATCCATGAGAAAATGCAATAGCCAAGAGGTATAAACCTTAGAAGTTAAATGTCTCTAGGAAAGTAGTGATCCCACTTACCACAGTAGAATAGGCATTATTGTTATTTCTTGTGAAAACTTTTCATTTATCTTGTAAACCATTTAACATTTGGTTCTTTTCACAGGGAGCAAAGAGATGGTTCGAGTGATGCGGAAGAAGGGCATTGAGCATCATCCCAATTTTCGTGCAGTTAAACATGTCCCATTTGACCAGTTTATACAGCTGGTTGCCCATGCTGGTTGTATGATTGGGAACAGCAGCTGTGGGGTACGAGAAGTTGGAGCTTTTGGAACACCTGTCATCAACTTAGGAACACGTCAGATTGGAAGAGAAACAGGTATTTACCTTTATCTTTCAACTGACTAGGCTTACTTGGTTTGTTTGCATTATTACAGGTATGCATGTGTCAGTGCTGCCATACATGTTTATGAATAAATGAGTAAATGAGGTTAATGACCAACTGTAGCCTGAAACCTGTAGATAGTACACATATTACCAAAGTTTTTCGGGCTCTACTTGTATTTTTATTGTCTTTGTAATAGCAGAGCTAAAAGTTTCTTAGTTAATTATGGTCTTTGATAGTTGTGTTTAAGAATGTGTTTAAATGTTTAAGTATATGAATGCTAGCCTTTCATCTTCCTGGGCCCAGTAAAATGAAGGGAATCAACAATACCCTCACACTTTTGGTTTGAGCAGTGGGGGCTCTCTTTCCTGATACGGAGGACCCTGAAGAAGGAGCAGTTTGGGAGCGGGTAGGATTAAGAGTTCTCTGCGCTGCGCTTAGTCATGTCTTACTCTTTGCGGCCCCATGGCCTGTAGCCCTCCAGGCTCCTCTGTCCATGGGGACTCTCCAAGAATACTGGAGTGGGTTGCCATGCCCTCCCCCAGGGGATCTTCCCAACCCAGCTCTCTTGCACTGCAGGCAGATTCTTTACTGTCTGAGCCGCCAGGGAAGCCCAAGAATACTGGAGTGGGTAGCCTATTTCCTTCTCCAGGGGAACTCCCTGACCCAGGAATTGAACCAGGATCTCCTGCATTACAGGCGGATTCTTTACCAGCTAAACCACCAGGCAAGCCCAAGAGTTCTCTGATGGCCATGTTAAGTCTGAAATGCCTTTTAGATATGGGAGTGGAGATGGCAGGCTATCAGCTATACTGTTCCAGGAAAAGCTGAAGTTGAAGATACAAATTTGAGAATGATTGGCAAATGGGTGGTGTTAGGATATTGGTTCAGCTGCTGTAACAGACACAAGAAAATAGTGCCTAAAAAAGATTTTCTTTGTTTCTCACTGGTAAGTCACCAGAGACTTAGCTTCCATCTATCTTCTTTTTTTTTTTTTCTGTCTGTCTATTTGATGGTTGCTCCAGCTCTTGCTGTCACTTGACATTTTCGCACATTTTAGCCATTGGGAAAGGAGGAGAGGGGAAGATACCCTTCCCTCTAAAAGCACAACTTGGAAGTTGCAAGTATTTCTTCTTACATTCTATAGAATGTTGTCACATGGCCACATCCAAGGAAAGCTGAAAAATACGTATAATCTTTAGTTGGGTGATCAGATGCCAAACTAAAAATTCTGCTACTGGTACAAAGGATATTGAGGATAATGGCACACTCTGCCAGGAATGGTACTGACATTTAAAACCAAGGGATGAAATGAGATTACCCAGGGGGGAACATGTAAACAGGGAAGAGAATGGAGCCCAGGACCAACCTCTGGAGTCTTTCTGATGAGGAGGGAAGAGCCAGGAGGAGAGACTGAAAAGGAGCTGCCAGAAGATCAGGAGTGTAATATCATTAAAGCCCAGAAAATAAAGGGTCTGAAGGAGATGAGGTTGAATGATCCAAGAGCTCAAACAAGACGTGAACAGAGAACTGAACCCTGGATTTGGCACCAGGGTCGTCCGGCAAAAGCAGTGTGTCCTTTCTGCCACCACACTCACACAAACACATGCTCTCCATCCTTTCCTTCTTCCCTTCTTTACATTGGAGGGTGTGGGGTATGGGGTCACCCCTGCCTGTCCACTGCTCAGCCTTCTGTGTTCTAAATCCCAACCCTCCTGCCTTCTCAAGGACTATCAGTCATCCTTTCTCTTCCATGTATCTTTAAGCTTCCTTAGCATTTAAACATTCCTAGGCCTCTGGTGTCTTAAAACTACAAAACAACCCCTTCCCTGACCCCACACCTCTCCGCAGCCACTACCCTTCTGCTCTTCCTTTCTTCATAGCCGAGTCCATTGAAAAACATGTCATTGTCACTATATTTAGTCCGTCAAATTGGTCAGAAAATGTATGGAGAGAATGTGCCTGTATTAACAGCTGACTGGCTAACTGACTGATACCCTGGCCTGACCAGCTGATCCAGCAACTGGCTGAGTAGATGGAAGTCAAGGCAGATGGAGAGAGTGGATGTGCTGGATGACTTTGTGAGTGACAAGTGGATACTGGATTAATTACCTTATTTATTTCTTTTTTTTTTTTTCATTTATTTTTATTAGTTGGAGGCTAATTACTTTACATCATTGTAGTGGTTTTTGTCATACATTGAAATGAATTAGCCATGGATTTACATGTATTCCCCATCCCGGTCCCCCCTCCCACCTCCCTCTCCACCCAATCCCTCTGGGTCTTCCCAGTGCACCAGGCCCGAGCACTTGTCTCATGCACCCAACCTGGGCTGGTGATCTGTTTCACCCTAGATAATATACATGTTTCGATGCTGTTCTCTTGAAACATCCCACCCTCGCCTTCTCCCAGAGTCCACAAGTCTGTTCTATACATCGGAGTCTCTTTTTTGTTTTGCACATAGGGTTATCGTTACCATCTTTCTAAATTCCATATATATGTGTTAGTATACTGTAATGGTCTTTATCTTTCTGGCTTACTTCGCTCTGTATAATGGGCTCCAGTTTCATCCATCTCATTAGAACTGATTCAAATGAATTCTTTTTAATGGCTGAGTAATATTCCATGGTGTATATGTACCACAGCTTCCTCATCCATTCGTCTGCTGATGGGCATCTAGGTTGCTTCCATGTCCTGGCTATTATAAACAGTGCTGCAATGAACATTGGGGTGCACGTGTCTCTTTCAGATCTGATTTCCTCGGTGTGTATGCCCAGAAGTGGGATTGCTGGGTCATATGGCAGTTCTATTTCCAGCTTTTTAAGAAATCTCCACACTGTTTTCCATAGTGGCTGTACTAACTTGCATTCCCACCAACAGTGTAAGAAGGTTCCCTTTTCTCCACACCCTCTCCAGCATTTATTGCTTGTAGCCTTTTGGATAGCAGCCATCCTGACTGGTGTGTAATGGTACCTCATTGTGGTTTTGATTTGCATTTCTCTGATGATGAGTGATGTTGAGCATCTTTTCATGTGTTTGTTAGCCATCTGTATGTCTTCCTTGGAGAAATGTCTGTTCAGTTCTTTGGCCCATCTTTTGATTGGGTCATTTATTTTTCTGGAGTTGAGCTGGAGGAGTTGCTTGTATATTTTTGAGATTAATCCTTTGTCTGTTGCTTCATTTGCTATTATTTTCTCCCAATCTGAGGGCTGTCTTTTCACCTTGCTTATAGTTTCCTTTGTTGTGCAAAAGCTTTTAAGTTTCATTAGGTCCCATTTGTTTATTTTTGCTTTTATTTCTAAAATTCTGGGATGTGGGTCATAGAGGATCCTGCTGTGATTTATGTCGGAGAGTGTTTTGCCTATGTTCTCCTCTAGGAGTTTTATAGTTTCTGGTCTTACATTTAGATCTTTAATCCATTTTGAGTTTATTTTTGTGTATGGTGTTAGAAAGTGTTCTAGTTTCATTCTTTTACAGGTGGTTGACCAGTTTTCCCAGCACCACTTGTTAAAGAGGTTGTCTTTTTTCCATTGTATATCCTTGCCTCCTTTGTCAAAGATAAACATATGGAGACTATACCTTATTTATTTCAATGAAGAAACCAAAGCTTGATTTATTCTCTTTGGGAAAAAAGGGATCTGTGGCCCTCAAGTATCTGATATATGGAAATATTTCTGAGAGTGCTTGCAAAGGTATAAAGTGGAAAAGTTCATTTCTCTAATAGAAGACAACTTGTTTGAAGCCTTCTGGGTTTCAGGACTAATTGTGAGCACAACACTTTGCTCATTTCTGTCTTCTCTGGTTTCTCTCACTTCTGAATCACCATGACGTCACTGGACTTACCTAGGGGAGAATGTCCTTCATGTCCGGGATGCTGATACCCAAGACAAAATATTGCAAGCATTGCACCTTCAGTTTGGTAAACAGTACCCTTGGTGAGTGTATACTTTTAAAGTGATTTAAAAGGGGAGCTGCCTTAGGCACCATTTTCAAACTGTTTAGTCATCCTAACAGCATTCTCATTCTGCATTCTTAGGGGTCCCTGTCTGCTGGTGAGATAGGGCTTGTTAATACCCGCTATGACTCTACCAAGGGTTCCAGTGGAGAATAATTTATTTGTCTTAATTAATGTAGCACTTCTACCAGGAAATATTGCTTTAGCCTATTTTGAATTTCTGTAAGTATTAGAAAATAATGTAACTGATTTTCTTTAAAAATAGTACATTTCAGCATTTTAATTTAGACTATCCTTTCTGTTTCAAATTAAAGACGTTTTCATTTACTTAAACCTTTTTTTCTGAAAATAACTTTTTCCCCATAAAAGTAAAGATAAAAAGCAAAAAAAATTTTTTTTTTTTTTTTACTATCCCAAACTATGATATATTGGCTTAAAAGAGATAATTTTCCTTTGATCTTATTGGCATTTTTGTTAGTGATATCTCAGGCTGGAAATAGTTGTATTTCAATCAACAGTGGTTTTAGATATTCCATTGATAATATGAAGGTATTTAATTAAGTGTTGCTGAAGAGATCCAGGTGTTGTTTTATATTTTAAAGGGAAAAAGCCCAAACTATTAATTACCTGAAGTTTCAGATTCCAGTAATACTATGCTTTCCATATAATTTAATATGTGCAAGAGAAACATTTAATTTAGTTGACTTTTTGGACATTGCAGTTCAAAGATATATGGGGATGGAAACGCTGTTCCAAGGATTTTGAAGTTTCTCAAATCTATTGATCTTCAAGAGCCACTACAAAAGAAATTTTGTTTTCCTCCTGTGAAGGATAACATCTCTCAAGATATTGACCATATTCTTGAAACTCTAAGTGCCTTGGCTGTTGATCTTGGCGGGACGAACCTCCGAGTTGCAATAGTCAGCATGAAGGTAAAATAACTCCTAAGGTTATAACTTTATATCCCACATGAGTAGTTGATTTTCTTAAAGTATGGTTGGAAGGTAGGACTATAAACATACACAAGAGCTTGTAATCATTTGCCAATAGTATTGACTTAAAGGTCCATCACAATGCTTGTCTTACTATTTTACTAATCACTAACATTTTGAAGAGGTAAATTCTCAAGGAATTCAAGTTTGTAGATTTGAGTCGACAATGGGAGACCCATTAGACACCAGAGAGGGCATCTACCATGCAGGGGACCTGAAATGCTATACTCAGTAACAGCATGGAGCGTGTTGATTACTCTCTCTGCCCTGGGGAGGGTATCTTCAGATGGTGAGGGGAATTGCTTCTCATCTGGATCATGATTTTAGTTGAATTCAGCATACCTTCAATCTCTTAAGCAAACCAGCACCATAACTTTGACAGAGCCTTTATAAAACACCAAAACATCCGTGTGAAAATAATCTTTGATGAGGTAACAAGGAAAAATAAAATTATCAGAAAAATCTTTGAAACATTATAGGTGTATGAAGTTTCAGGAGTCCATGAGAAATATAAAGGACTTCAAACACAAAGTTGTTTAGATCAATTTAAAAAAAGCAAAACAAAACATGATTTTATCTAGTGAAGCCATTCATAAAATTTTTTTTTTCTTTGGCCCACACTGCATGGCTTGTGGGATCTCGTTCCCTGACTAGGAATTGAACTCAGGACCTTGGCAGTAAAAGTGTGGAATCCTAATCACTGAACCGCCAGGGAATCCCCTATAAAAGTATTAATAGGGAACTTCCTTGGTGATTCCTTCCAAGAATCTGCCTGTCAATGCAGGGGACATGGGTTCAGTCCCTGCTCGAGGAAGATTCCACATGCCTTAGGAGCGGCTAAGCCTGTGCGCCACAACGGCTGAGCCCAAGTGCCCCAGCAACAAAGACCCAGAGCAGCCAAAAACTAAATAAATAAATAAATTTTAAAAATATTACTAGAAAAACATTTTCTTAACATATGATGATGATGATGATGATGTGAAGTTGCTCAGTCGTGTCCAACTCTTTGCGACCCCATGGACTGTAGCCTACCAGCCTCCTCCATCTATGGGATTTTCCAGGCAGGAGTACTGGAGTGGGTTGCCATTTCCTTCTTCAGGGTTCTTAACATATATTCCATATCAATGACCAACACCCTCAATGGTGGCAGGTCTAAAGATGCTCTTATTAAAATCAAGTAGAAAAGAAGGATATTTTCTGCAACGTTATTTAACATAATTCTCAGAGTTAGGAAGGGAGTAAAGCAAGGAATGAATAGCAAAAATGGCAATTGTGCACAGGATTAAAAAAAAAACTTACAGATAATATGAATAAACCAACAAGCTTGTAAAATAACACAGTTGAGTAAAATCATTAGATATTATGATAAATATGTAAGTATCAGTAACTTATATGAAATTGCAGATAAAGATTTGAGTTTTTCTGTAGGTGAGTATTTATCAACCCTGATTGCACATTATTAGTGTTACATGGAAGCTTTAAAAAATTCTATGGATGCCTGGCCCCCACACCAGACTAGTTAGATGCCAGTCTCTGGGGGTAGGGACCAGGCATCAATATTTGTTCAAAGCTGTCCAGGTGATTCTGATGCACAGTGAAGGTCAAGAAGCACAACGAGGTTTATTTTTAGTGACAATCATTAGTGACAGTTTTAACCCTTGTAAATGGATAAAAAGCCATTAATGAGCTTCTCTGGTTGCTCAGTGGATAAGAATCTGCCTGCCAGTGCAGGAGACATGTTTTTGATCCCTGATCCGGGAAGATCCCACATGCCAGAGCAGTTACGCCTGTGCAGCACAACTACTGAGACTGTGCTCTGAGCCCGGGCGCTGCGGCTGCCGGAGCCCCGCAGTGCTCTGAGCCCGGGCAGGAGCCCCGCAGTGCTCTAGAGCCCGGGCGCTGCGGCTGTCGGAGCCCCGCAGTGCTCTGAGCCCGGGCAGGAGCCCCGCAGTGCTCTAGAGCCCGGGCGCTGCGGCTGTCGGAGCCCTGCAGTGCTCTGAGCCCGGGCAGGAGCCCCGCAGTGCTCTAGAGCCCGGGCGCTGCGGCTGCCGGAGCCCCGCAGTGCTCTGAGCCCGGGCAGGAGCCCCGCAGTGCTCTAGAGCATGGAAAAAGAGACATATTTAGAACAACATAACTTCTAAGAAAAATCTAAACCAGAAAACTATGTGACCTATATAAAGAACGTCTAAAAACTATAAAATAGAAAGCCTTGAGAAATCTCCTGGATGGGAGTGCTGAGGATTTTTTAAATGCCAGGAGTTTCCAAATTGAGTTTAACATAAGTTTAGTCAACATTTCAGTGAGGCTTTTTAAAGTTTAATAACATTATTCTGAAATTTACTTAGAATACACAAGTGGGAAGAGCACACAAAAAAAATTTAAAAACAAGAATAGTTAGGAGGGACTGTCACCAAGCACAGTAATTTAATAAACATCATGGTTCAATACCATTATTGGCTTCAGTTATAGGAGATGATTAAAGTTTACTTAGCATTTTTATTGAGTTGCTTCAGTATTTAAACAAGGGAATTTTATCAGCCTGAAAGAGTAAAATATGATCTTTTAGTGAAGATTCAGATTAGCCAGAAGAGAGGGCCCACCTGGCTGCCTGTGGAGCTGTCGCTGCTTCAGTGGCTTCCTCTAAACTAGTTGGGTGTGACCAAGGGCTGGCCCAGGCCAGCAGGGGCTCTCTTCCCAAGCAGCCATCTGAGTCTGCAGTGCTGTGCTAAAGCAATGTCCGAGTTATCATGAGAAAGGTCAGAGGTTCACTGTATACTCCTCAGCTAAGACCAGTGAGACAGGTCCGGTTTTTCTCTTTCAGGGTGAAATAGTTAAGAAGTATACTCAGTTCAATCCTAAGACGTATGAAGAGAGGATTAATTTAATCCTACAGATGTGTGTAGAAGCCGCAGCAGAAGCTGTAAAACTGAACTGCAGAATTTTGGGAGTAGGTGAGACTGTGAATTACATATCCAAGCATGTTCACTCCCATATACAAAGTTTGCCAAGTTCTGATGCATGACGCGGAACATCAGGTCACCGTCGTGTGTGTAGACGGCTCCAGTCCTGCCTGTGGGCCCTTAGCAAACATTGTGAAAAGCATTGATGGAACTGTCAGTCTATGGGGAGGCACAGGTTTAGCCTTACATTACCTTGCAGTCCTTGGTAATGTTTGTTTTAGGAGATCTTGGGTGAATAATTTGTGTTCTAAGCCCAGAAAGCCAGCATAGTCTTCTGAGATTGCTCAACAGAATTATTTTCCTTGTGTTTGTTGGGGAGCTCAGGCATTTCCACAGGTGGCCGTGTAAATCCTCGGGAAGGAATTGTGCTGCATTCAACCAAACTGATTCAAGAATGGAACTCTGTGGACCTCAGAAGCCCCCTGTCTGACACTTTGCATCTCCCTGTGTGGGTAGACAATGATGGCAACTGTGCTGCCCTGGCAGAAAGGAAGTTTGGCCAAGGAAAAGGCCTTGAAAACTTTGTGACGCTCATCACAGGCACAGGTGAGAGGGGTAGAGACGGCGCTTCGGATCTTGGGCGTGTGTTGGGCACTTTCACCACTCAGGCAGTTTCCACCTTCCCTTCCTGCTCGAGTAAAGCCTGCAGGTGAGAGCTGAGGATGCCCAGGGCTTTTCTGGGCATGTGCCCGGCCCTGGGCATGAATGTGACTTTCTAAATGGCCAGGAATCGTCAGAGCTCTTCAAAGCCCTTATTCCCCAGAGCTTCTCATTGCTGGTTCCCCAGCTTTTCTTCCCACTCTCTTTGGTTAGGATATGGTTTGTCACAACTACCATCCATTGCCCCAAGCAGCAGAAACTAGTAAGTGTATCTTGCCTTTAAGTGTCTTTGACCAGTGCCCCCGGGTGGCCCCTCAGCCCTGGGAGAGTTCTGGGGAGGCTGAGATGAAGACCAGCCCCTTGAGCTAGTCCTCCGGGAGCCACCACACAGGTCTAAACAAAGCACCACAGTGTTTTGAGACTAGTTTGTTCTCCTCCCTCCAGCATTGCCATCCGTACTGGGAATGTAGGCTGTTACTCATGGCCTTTGCCAAGCTGGGAGGTGAAGGGTGGGGTGATGGGACCAGGAAATGCCAGAAATCTCTAAGATTCAGCTGTTTTCTCTCAATTCCCCTGTTTGCTGTAAATGTTTGGTTAGTTTCCAGAGTTCCAAAAAAAGTTGATTCTGACAGTTTTTACTAGTTTATCATTGCTTTAGTGGAGGGGTGGACTTTTGAAGTTCCTGTTTGGTCACTTCTGCTGATGTTCCAGTTCGTTTTTTAAACAAGGAAATGGATTTAGCCGGTCAGTGTTGGCGGCGACACTTGGTCTCGCGCGTTTCTCACTGCAAACCCTGTGTGCTGTTCACCTCCACGTCAGACGCTCTCCCTAAACAGGTCATGCCCGTAGTCTCAGACGCGGTGTTAACAGCTTGGATATCATTTCCCAGTTCAGAGGAGTACGTGCTTAGTCGCTTCAGTCGTGTCCGACTCTGCGACCCTATGGACCATGGCCCGCCAGGCTCCTCTGTCCCTGGGATTCTCCAGGCAAGAACACTGGAGTGGGTTGCCATTTTTCTCCAGTGATACCCTGCATAGAGGGGTGTGGCTTGAGGAGTAGGTGCCACAGGAAGTAAGAGGGGGCAGCTCTAAAATGCAGCACCCATTCAGGCAGAAGGCCCTTTCTAACTCCTCAGCTCCATGACAAAAAAAATACACTGATATTCATAATTGTTGAATCATACATTTTTAGACAAGGTGGCATTAAGAAGAGCCAAAACTATTTAATATTCTGTTTAAGAAAGCAGATGTTTAAAAAAAAAAAAGCAGGTGGTGTATGAAACCTTTTAAAAAGATTATCTTATCTCGGATTTCCCCCAAAGCAGAGCCTGAGGCAAGGAGTTTGGTGTGGGTATTTCATTTTGGAGGTGACTCTGAGACACAAGAATGCGGCGGTGGGAAGGGTGGAGCAGAGCAGGAGAACCATCAGAAGATGCATTATCAGAGCTGCCTTGGAAGCCTGCCTGTGAGCAATGTGCTTCCGTGGCTACTAGGCTCTTGCCTGAGCGCTAGAGAAGACCTGGGTGAGAACCAAGTTGAAATCACAGTGATTCCAAGCAGATGCAACACAGGGCATCCGAGGATCAGCTAAACATTTCCATCCAAAAGGATTCCAGGTGGAGTTTTGGTGCCTGGTAAAGTTTTGGCTGTTTCAGGAAGCAGGCACCACACAGGACCTCACGTTCTGAAGCCTGGTAAACAGAGGAGGCAGCGCTCAGCTTTCTGTTTCGGGCGCAGAGCCGCTTCAGTGATCATCGTCTCTCACTGCAGGAATTGGCGGGGGGATCATCCATCAGCATGAACTGATCCACGGCAGCTCCTTCTGTGCTGCAGAGCTTGGCCACATCGTGGTGTCCCTGGACGGGCCTGACTGTTCCTGTGGAAGCCATGGCTGTATCGAAGCATATGCCTCTGGAATGGCCTTGCAGAGGGAAGCAAAAAAGCTACATGATGGTGGGTTTCTTTCACCTGAGGGATAAATAGCCAAGTGGTAGATATTTTCGAAGTAGATACTCCAAAAAGAGCTGAATGCTGGAAGCCAGAACTTTCAAGCTTTTCACTCTCTGGAGGAGAACCAGGACTCCGCATACTGAAGCTCTGAGCCTCCCTGGTCTTGACCCCTATTAGCCCTTTTCCTCCCCAGCAGTGGACAGGGACTAGGGTCTTGAGCTCCAGGAGAGGAGGGGAGATTGCTTTCATTTTTGTCTTCTCAACCCCTAGCACAGGTTGGGTATCTTAATACAGATTTAATGGAGAAGTAAATGGATAAACATACATAATTTTTCAAGTCTGAGAGGTCTTTTGAATTTTAGCTGTTTCTGGACATGTTATAAAAATCACGATGGTTTCCAGTCTAATGTAAGAGGGAATCATTTAATGTCATTACAATATGGTGTGTCAAGGGCACTGATGATGATGGCCAGGGAGCATAGACGCATACAGGAGGCACACCAGTGTCCCCCCCATCGCTCTCCATATAGGGAAGGGAGCCTTAGGCTGTCTAGTTGAAAGTCAGAGGGTAAATAGAATTAGAGGCAAGTTTGGATAAGCCAGGCAGCACTTCCAAGCATAGGAAACAGAGGTGTTGGTGCATAACTGGCAAGGCAGGGTATAGTGTAGCCAGAGGTTTGCCAGGACCAGCAACTAATTGGAGAAGCCACTAAAAAATTAGGGAAAAGACAGATCTGAATTTTAGGTTGTTCATCAAACTTCTGTTTTCTAGGAAGACAGTGATAGTTGAATGGAGGATGGCTTTCAGGGGGACAGTGTTGTGTGTGACTTGCAGTTTTCTGATTGGTAACTATGGTTGGGAACATAAGAGAAGGAACAGTCTGGCAGAAGATGATGATTGGGAACCAGTGGGGTGTGCAGGAGCAATGCGCAGAAGGCAGCTGGCCACGGGGATCTGATGCTCAGGAGAGGTGATGGGGCTGGACTTGGAATCCTTGGCATTGAGGTGGTTCTTAAGCCTGTGAGTGAGACGTGGAGTGAGATGAACTGAGGGTGGAATCCAGTGAAACATCAGTACTTGTAGGCAGCGAGGAAAACCAGGAAAGGGTAAAGCCACAGGAACCAGAAGGGAGAGTGGTGGGCGGTGTCAGTGCTCAGTACAAGGAGACCGGAAAGCTCACTGGTTTGACCCGGAGGGGGGCACCGTTTGGAGCCCTGAAAGCTGTGTCGATTTTCCACCTCATTTTTACCACCACCCCCGCTAATAAGTCTAAATGCTTAAGACACTTTTTCCTAATCATTTCACCCCATGAAACTTGAATACCACAGATACGTTGTTTGTTTATGTACTCTCTGTATAAAAAGAAAATTTTTTTGCCCCCAAGAATCAGTTTTTGCCCTCATGGGGATAAATGCTTATCTTAAGTTTGGTCAGGTAGTGGGAGCAGAAAACGGACTACCCTGAGAAGGGAAGGATGCCTCGAGGGTGAGGAATCTGGGTGCTCGCATGGGTGGAAAGGAGACAGACAGCGAGGGAGGAAAGGAGACAGCGAGGGCGGGAAGGAGACAGCGAGGGCGGGAAGGAGACAGCGAGGGCGGAAGGAGACAGCGAGGGCGGGAAGGAGACAGCGAGGGCGGGAAGGAGACAGCCAGGGTGCAGGGAGACAGCGAGGGCGGAAAGGAGACAGCGAGGGCGCGAAGGAGACAGCGAGGGCGGGAAGGAGACAGCGAGGGCGGGAAGGAGACAGCGAGGGCGGGAAGGAGACAGCGAGGGCGGGAAGGAGACAGCGAGGGCGGGAAGGAGACAGCGAGGGCGGGAAGGAGACAGCCAGGGTGCAGGGAGACAGCGAGGGCGGAAAGGAGACAGCGAGGGCGCAAAGGAGACAGCAAGGGCGGGAAGGAGACAGCGAGGGCGGAAGGAGACAGCGAGGGCGGAAAGGAGACAGCGAGGGCGGAAAGGAGACAGCGAGGGCGGGAAGGAGACAGCGAGGGCGCAGGGAGACAGCGAGGGCGGAAAGGAGACAGCGAGGGCGGAAAGGAGACAGCGAGGGCGGAAAGGAGACAGCGAGGGCGGAAAGGAGACAGCGAGGGCGGAAAGGAGACAGCGAGGGCGCAAGGAGACAGCGAGGGCGCGAAGGACACAGCGAGGGCGCGAAGGACACAGCGAGGGCGCGAAGGACACAGCGAGGGCGCGAAGGACACAGCGAGGGCGCGAAGGACACAGCGAGGGCGCAGGGGGACAGCGGGAGCAGAAATGAGCGTTAAGAACACAGGAGAGGATCGGTGGGGGAGCCCTTACAAGGCCCCTGGGGAGCCAGGGGGCAGTGAGCTGCAAAGCCCAAGTGCAGGGTGCGAGGAGAGGAGCCAGGGTGTGAGAACACAGCCCTGTTCATAGACGGGGGCAGGAGAGTGAGGAAGCTCCTGCCTGGAGGTGTCCTCTGTCTAAGGTCAGAGATACGGGTGGTGGGGGCAGGGATGGACAGTCTGAGGAGATGAAGGCTGAGAAGGGCTATGAAGGGGAATGGCAGGGTGGGCAGGGCGGCTGTGAGGGCCCCTGAAGATAGGAAGCCCCCAGCTTTTGTCTAGGTAACCGTCTGCTTGGTGGGAATTTTCTCCCGTCAGAGACGGAGCAACAGCCGATGAGGAGGGAGAGTGATCTAGTTGGTGACCTGGCAGCGTCGGGGTAGATAACAGCGGAGATATATACATTCATCTAGCATTTCCTCTGGCCAGCGGCTGGAATCCTGCGGGGGTAGGCACCGTCCCCCTCGTCTTGGAAGAGAAGCCTGTGGAGGTGATGCATGTGGGCAAGGTGGCGCAGCCGGCGCCGGCGGAGCTGACGGCCGAACCCAGGCCCGTCAGCTGCTGAGGCGCTGGGCCTTCCTGCTGCCGTGGGGCAGTGGCCGCAGCCTTGCCTCTCAGCTAGACAAGGAAGGAGATGAATGCAGAGGAGTTCTGGTAATTTGGAGGAAAAAACACTTCACGACTGTTTAATACAGAATGGAGAAGCGGGGAGGATTTTCTAGTTAGAGGAGTTTTGGATGATGTATAACCAGGCAGCAAAGGCCTCTTTGGCAGATGTAGTATATTTATGATGATTGCAAAGCTTTGCAAGTGTGAAAGATCATCATCTTCCCACTTGGGGGCCTGCTGCCCACAGACACAGTTGTGAGTGTGGCCTTCCCACGGGGCTGCCGCAGCTCGTGAATGACTACTGCTCCTTCTCGCCTCTGCCCAAACAGAAGATCAGCTCTTGGTGGAAGGGATGTCCGTGCCAAAAGACGAGGCTGTGGGCGCACTCCATCTCATCCAGGCTGCAAAACTCGGCAACGCGAAGGCCCAGAGCATCTTAAGAACAGGTGAGCACACGGCCCTGGGCAGCTCTGCCTGGGGAGAGCCTGGAGCACCCGCAGGTGCCCAGCCGGCCTGAGTCAGTGCTCTGTCGTGTCTGTCCAGAGGTAATTTTTCTGCTTACTGAGACAACAAGGAATCACATTCAAGGTATTTGGTAGCGTTGCCTTTTTATTTTTTAATTGGAGTATAAATGCTTTATATGTTGCATCATCTCCTGCTGTACAACGGTGTAAACCTGCTCTAAGTGTGTATGTATATATGTATCTCCCCTCCCTCCCACTTCCCCCATCCTTCTCCTCTAGGTCATCACAGAGCAGCGAGCTCCACCAGCTGTCTCTTTCACACATGGTGGCGTATACATGTCAATGCGTCCCACTTCTCCCCTCCCCCACCCCTCGTGTCCACAGATCCAGTCTCTGTGTCTGCACTTCTATTCTTGCCCTGCAAGCAGGTTCATTAGTACCATTTTTCTAGATTCCATATGTATGTGCTAATCTATGATATTTTTCTCTTTCTGACCTCACTCTGTATGACAGACTCTAGGTTCATCCACATCACTACAACTGGCTCAATTTTGTTCCTTTTTATGGCTGAGTAATACTCTGCTATATTTATGTACCGCAATGCCTTTATCCATTCGTCCGCTGATGGACATCTAGGTTGCTTCCCTGTCCTGGCTGTTGGAAACAGTGCTGTAATGAACATTGGGGTACATGTGTCTTTTCGATTATGGTTTTCTCAGGGTACATGCCCAGGAGTGGGATTACTGGGTCACGTGGTAGTTTTATCTTCAGTTTTTTAAGGAACTTCTACTGTTCTCCATATTTAGTTTTTGAAGACCTTCCTTACTATTCTCTGTAGTGGTTGTATCAGTTTATATTCCCACCAATAGTGCAAGAAGATTTCCTTTTTTCCATACCCTCTCCAGTATTTACTGTTTGTAGACTTTCTGGTAACGGCCATTCTGACTGGTGTGAGGTGATGCCTCACTGTGGCTCTGATGTGCACTCTGCAGTGATGAGCGATGTTGGGCACTGCCTCGTGTGCTCACTGCCGTCTGCCTGTCGTCTGGGCTCAGCAGCTGTGGCACGTGGGCCTAGCTGCCCTGTGGCATGTGAGATTTACTCGGATCAGGGATCGAATTTGTGTCCCCTGCACCAGCAGGCAGATTCTTAACCACTAGATCACTAGCAAAGTCCATAAACAGCTGTAAAAGCACTGCTTCCCATGAGGCCGTGTAGATGAACTATTCCTGGCTAGTGCCCTTTTCACATTCCTCTGACTTTGGATTGGGCTTTCTCCCAAAAACTTATTTTAATTTTTGTTTTCCTGTAGCTGGAACAGCTTTAGGTCTTGGGGTTGTGAACATCCTCCACACTATGAATCCTTCCCTTGTGATCCTCTCTGGAGTCCTAGCCAGTCACTACATCCACACTGTCAAAGACGTCATCCGCCAGCAAGCCTTGTCCTCGGTTCAGGACGTGGACGTGGTGGTTTCAGATTTGGTGGAACCTGCTCTGCTCGGCGCCGCCAGCATGGTTCTGGACTACACGACTCGCAGAATCTACTAGGCCTCCCAGGAATGCACGAGGACAGAGACGCAAGAACTCCTTGGTGGAATCAGGTTGTCTCCTAGATGAGCACTTCTTATTAGGCAATCTGGCAGGTGACTACGGCAGAGAAGTGTTTGCTTTTAGTCTCCTCCTCCAAAGTCACTTTTCCCAGCCTGATTTTGTAGATGCTGCTCCTCCTGGGGTTATTTCAGCTCAAACCTTGTCACACTCTTCTGTGCCAAAAGGAGCTACAACAGTAGCCAAGGATGCCTTGGGACTCCGTTTACTAGATGTGCCACTCAGACCTGCAGGCCTTGCTTGGGGTGGGACCTTGACACTGGAGTTTTGAGTTATTAATCCTTCCTCCTCTGACCCTAAATTCAGAACACAGAAAGGGATCCAGTCAGGGAATGGAAAGAAATCTCACCACAAAAGGCTAAAGTAAACTCTTAAAAAGCAGTTTTATTGAGGTATTTTTTTAAGTGCACAGTTTGGTAAGTTTTGACATCTATATGAAATCATGGCCACAATCAAGATATCAGGCGTATCTCTCACTGCCGTACGTCACTTGCTGAAAGATGTCGTTTGCTATTACTCTCTCAGAATCTTGAGCAACTGTAGATCGGGGTCTGAATTACAGTGGCCTTAGGGACCTTGCCCTTATCTTCTTAAGGACCGCTGGGAAGCCACTAGGACTTAGCCTCTGAAAGGAGATTAACCATCCCAGAAGGATCTTTGTTACTGAGAACAGGCGTCTCTCTTCAGTAGCTTTTCACATGGTGTTGAATATGACTGGAGTACTGATAAAGGCAGTGTTTGTTGTGCGTCATATACCTAGAGCCCTGGAGGCTCAGACTTACTCTGCCTACAAGGCGGGAGACCTGGGTTCAATCCCTGGGTCAGGAAGAGCTCCTGGAGAAGGAAATGGCAACCCACTCCAGTATTCTTCCCTGGAAAATCCCATGGACAGAGGAGCCTGGTAGGCTACAAAGAGTACCTGGGGTCGCAAAGAGTCGGACACGACTGAGCGACTTCACTTTTGCCCAGAGCCCACATCTGTGAATCTGGATTCTGGCTAAATACGATTCCACGTTTGTACTGGTGTCAAGATACAGAGGCCAAGGTTCTTGCTATCAATTTCAACCTGGAAGAAATACTAATAGCCACCACTTATTAAGTGCCTACTGTGTGCCAGGCTCTGAATTTGGTGCTTCATATACATTATTCTAAATTCTCACAACCAGTAAGTTAGGTGTTTTAATTCCCATTTTATAGAACCCCAAACTAAGTCTTAAGTGGTGTGCCTAGAGCCACGTGGCTAATGAGTCTTAAAGATAAGGTTTGAGGCGGGTCCCTCTGTGCTTTTTCTGCTAAGCTACACAAGCTCTATTCATATCAAAATCTTCCAAAGTGCAAATATATTCTGATTTATTCCAGGCTACCGAAAGCTTTCACAGTATCTCAGTAGCAAATGAACTGCTTTATCCTTGACACTCTCTCTCAGTGGTGAATTTAATAAAATATTCTTGTATGCTGTGGAAATTTTGCCAATATAGTATTTCGTCTTGTGACAGGTTTTTAAGGGTACTTTTAGACAATCTAAAAATTAGCATATGTTTTTAAGATTTATTATTTTAAGAAAACTTGAAGGTTTCTACAACATATTATTTCACTTGTCCACATATGAAGGAATCAAGATTACTGTATTTGAATTCCTTCCTTCCTGGTGGGTTAATGTGAAATTAGGTTGGCTGATTCCTAGAACTGTCAGCTCTGAAATAATCTCCAGGTCCTGGTTGACACATTCCACGTTGATTCCTGGGAAGGAAGCTTGTTGGCTTGGCCACCAGTGTCTGGGGCCAGTCAGTGTACTGTGAAGGGGCATCCGTTGTTCCTTGGTGAAATCTACAACCACTGTCTATACCAGACAGTTGCATTGCTATCAAGTTTCATACCAAATATTTGGAAGAATGGTACTGAATCTATAAAACCAGATCTCAGTTTTTATTAAATTCATGGAAGCGCTAATATATTCCAACATAATTATTACAACTAGCTAAAGTGATCACATTTTAATTTATTTTAATATAAATATTTTTATGTTACTGTTCTGAGCCAAATTCTAAAGAAAAAATAAATTATTTCCTTGTGGAAATCCTGACATTTTTCTATTTTGTTTTGTTCTTAATTAGCTCATTAGCTAAAAACATTTCCCTCCCTAAGAGATGTGTTATACTCCTTGTAAGATTTGAAGGTCATATAACTTCTTTAAGGCATTTAATATTGACTTAACAATCTCCCCCCAAAACCTTGTTAATAGAAAGCATTGTTATATAACATAAAAAAATACATATATTGCAAAATGATCACCACACTGTTTAGCTAACATCATCACAATCCATAGTTTTTTTCCTTGTGATGAGGACTTTTAAGATTGAATTTAGTAGCAACTTTCAAATATGCCTTATGGTGTTATCAACTAGTCGCCATACTGTATATTACATCCCTGTAACTTATTTTGTAACTGGAAGTTTGTACCTTTTAACCCTCTACACCCACTCCCCACCTCCCAACCCTGTCTGTGGCAACCACCAATTTGTTCTTTGTGAGCTGGGTTTTGTTTTTTTAGATTCCACATAGCACTTAGATCATACGGTATTTGTCTTTCTTGGTCTGATGTTTTACTTATTTAGTATAATGCCCTCAAGGTCTATCCATGTTTCACAAATGGGAAGATTTCTTCTTTTTAATGGCTGAATACTATTCTGGTCATATATATTTACACCACATTTTATCCACTCATTTGTTGATGGACATTTAAGGTTGTTCCCATTACCTTCACTATGTAAGACTGCATATACCTCTTAGAGTTAAGTGCTTCTGTTTTCTTTAGATAAATACCCAGAATCAGAATTGCTGGATCATATGGGAGTCCATTTCAATTTTTTGAGGACCCTCCCATACTGTTTTCCATAGTGGCTGCACCAGTTTACATTCTCACCAACAGTGCACAGGGCTCCCTTTCTCCTCCTCTCCAACACCTGTTACTTCCTGTCTTTTTGACAACAGCCATCCTAAGAAATGTGAGGTGGTATCTCACTGTGGTTTTCATTTTCATGATTAGTGATATTGAGCACCTTTTTCATTTACCCATTGGCCAGCTGTATCTCTTCTTTGGATAAATGTCTATTCAAATCCTCTGCTCATTTTTAAATTGTTTTTATGCTATTGAGTGTATTTTTGGATATGAACCCCTTACTGTATATATGATTTGTAAATATTGTCACCCTTTCAGTAAGTTGTCTTTTTGTTGATAGTTTTCATTTTGCCGTGCAGAAGCTTTTTTGTTTGATGTAGTCCTGCTAACTGACCATATATGTGTGAGTTTATTTCTGGACTCTTTATTCTGTTTCATTGATCCATGTGTCTGTTTTTATGCCAATTATTGTTTTCATTACTATAGCTTTGTAATATGATTTGAAATCAGGGAGAGTGATGCTATCAGCTTTGTTCTTTCTCAAGATTGCTTTGGCTATTCAGGTCTTTTGTATTTCCATACAAATTTTAGGACCGTTTTATCCTTGTGAACAAAATGCCACTGGAATTTTGATAGGCTACATTGAACACATAGATTGCTTTGGGTAGTACGGACATTTAAACAGTATTAATTCTTCCAGTCCATGAGCATGAAGTCTGTTTAAATTTCTTTCACTGGTGTCTGATAGTTTTTAGTGTTGGTTATATTTATTCCTAGGTATTTTATTTTTTGATGCAGTTGTAAATGGGACTGTTTTAATTTCTATTCCTGACAATTTGTTATTAGTATACAGAAATGCAACAAATTTCTGTAATTGTTTTTATACCCTACAACTTAATTCATTTATTAGTTGTTATTAGTAACAGTTTTTTGGTGGAGTTTTTAGAGTTTTTTGTATATAAAGTCATGTCATCTGCAAATAGTGACAGTTTTATTTCTTCCTTTCCAGTGTGGGTGTTTTTTATTTTTTCTTGCTCAAGTGCAGAAACTAAACGCTGAGCACTCACTGAGTTCTTGGACCAACTCCTTCCTTTTCATGAAGCCCCATGTGGGTAATGTAGGCATTAGAGACCATTCAAAGTTACCACTGCTGTGTAACAAACCACCTCAAAACTTAAGAGGCTTCAACAGTCGTCATTTTCTCTCATGGTTTCTGTGGGTCAGGAATTCTGGAAAGGCTCTACCTGGCAATTCTGACTCAGGGCATCTGATGCGCTTGCAGTTAGGCAGTGGCTGGGGCGGGAATAGGGCTGGCCATGCGTCTCTCTTTGCTTGCAGTTTCAGGGTCTCTCCACGTAGGCTGGTTTGGGCTTCCTCATAGCATGGTGGCCTCAGGGTGGTAAAGATTTTTACATGGCAGCTCAAGGGCTCTCAGGTTGTTTGTTCCAACAAACCAGCCGTAAACTGTGTCACCCTTTACAACCTAGCCTTGGAAACATATAGCATCACTTCTGTCATATGATGCAGTCACCCTTAATTTGGAGAAAGTCAGACTTTACTGACCTAACTGCCGTATCTACCTTCAAGACACCCATCCTATGTGAGATGCAAAACCAAGCCAGATGACACCATCAAGACATTATCAAAAGGTAAGCTGTCCCACGTAGAGGGTCATGGGAGCTCAGGGGAAAGGAAAAGCATCACGTAAGTGGCCTTTGAGCTAGTTCTTAAGCCCGATTATGATCTCTTCAATGACATTAGCAAGGTCTAGAAGCAACAAATGGTTGGCGAACAGCAGCAAGCAGCTGCTCGACTGCAATCTCAGGTGGCTGAAGGGAAGAGCAATAAGACCAGAAATGCAGCCCAGACCAAGGAACGCCCAACTAAGCAGCTTGGTGAGGGGAAGACAGGCAAACAAGTAAGCATTCCTGTCCCTTTCAGACATAATTACCACAGAAGAGACGGTGGACTTTCCTTCCTGGCAATGGCAAGACCTAACCCTGCTCACCCACCTCCTGAGTGTGGCATTACAGGTGTTTACATCAGTCTGCATCCTGGAACTAGTATCAGGTAACTCTAGCAGGCTTCTGAAGTACGGCTTTACCAGTTGCTCGATCCGTCACCTGTAACGTGACAGGCTACGTTACGTGACCTCCTCCTGAGACAAGGAGTCAACGCGTTGATGCCTGAGACGGAGTACAGTCTCCTACAGGCACCTGTTACGTGGATCAGTGTGGTCCAGAATGTTCTGTGATGATGTAAGTGTTCCATAGTCTGCCCTGTGCAATCCAAATGCACCCTAACTACATGTGGCCACAGCGCATATGAAAAGGAGCTTGGGCTAGAATTGTATTTTTAATTCTGACTGATTTAAATAGCCACTGTAGCTACTGTACTGGCCAGCAAGGTCTGGATGAAGGATCTGACAACAGCAATATGAGCAAAGTGCTAGGGATGGCACAGACCTCCGTGTGTGCTGCAGGGACTCAGAGAAATAGGGCCAGGCATGCTCATGCCATCCTGACTCAGGTCTATGGGCTGAATCCAAAGCAGCAAGTGTCTCACTGGTTTCTATCGCCCCGGGAGAACCCTGCGGAAACACACTACCCAGGCTCCCATAGTCAGGGATAGCGACTGATGTGAGCCACTGGGGAGGAGACGTCCAGGGTGGTGAAGGGGTTCACAGCTGTCTTCAGTGGGCAGTGAGAGGTTCACTTTTAGCCAACCAGCTCCCCTTTCAAATGGAAACGTCCACAGACTCCTACTACAGACAGCAGAAACTCAGAGCTGTTTCAGTTCAAGGCAGCGTGGGCACCCAATGGCTGTGCCTCTGTAGCCCCAGAAAGGATAAAGGGAGTCCCTCACTGACCTCACTCCCAACTGCAGCACACCCTGAGATCAATAATGAAACTTCATGTTGATTTCTTGGAACAGAAATTTATTCTCAGAATAATGCACAAAAGCACAGGTTGAGGCTGCCGTTGGGAGGCCTCCCTCCCTCCCTCCGCCGCCACCTCCCCTCCTCCTCGACTGCCAGGGAGAACACAGTTGAAGGAAACATGCAATCACAAACAATGATCAACTCTAAAGACAAGAGGTTTGGTCCAAAAGAACTCAACATAATTAATCCAGTTACCGTGAAGAGCTTCACTGAGTAGGATTAAGATGCTGCAGATGTAGTGTCTCCGCAGGGAGGCTCTTCAGTGCACCAGGGGGGCCTGCTTGAGGGAGATGAGGACAGAACGCATGCGGGAGACGTCTTTGGCCTGCTTGCTGGACTTGGGGTTAAAGTCACACAGCCGGGCCACCCGTTCCCACTCAGTGCCTGGGGACGACTCCTCAATGTCATTTACAAAGGCTTCTTCTGCTGCCCTGGAAGCAACAACAAAAGAGGCTGATTTAACGCAGACTCCCCATGTGAGCTACCTAGTGGCTACCTTGTTATGGAAACAACGGCCTCTGTATGCCTGACCTAAAAGCATTCTGATTTTCCAAAGACTAACAGCCCTGGCCCAGGTCAAACTCAGGAGCAGACACATGGCCAGCTTTCCTAGGCACAGGGTGCCCGGACTGCTGTGTAAAATGTTGGAATACAGGTGTTTGGTTCAGGGTCTCTCCCTCTCTGTTGACACAGAGAATTAAAGCAAGTCCTTAACCAGCTACTCACTGCCTTCATTAGCAAAAGCACAGCAGCAGGCTGGCCAAGAACTTGAACAGCGGTTTATGTTGGCCTGTACTGAATTTCAAGTAAATTTAGAGACTTCGAAAGAAGCCCACAGGTCACTCCGCACAATAGCCTCTGGATTTACTCCAAAGGCTGGAGAGAAACAGGGCAGATCAAAAGGAATTCAAGACCAAGCGCCCATGCTAGCAGGCACTAGAGACTAAAGCCGTTCCAGGAGGGTTTGTTAGGACATTCTCCAGTTCAGCCAAAAGTTTTGCCGTTTTCCCTCCAGCCAGGTGCCATGGGCCTCTCGGGACACTCTGGCAGGGGTGGGCACCCAGCGGCTGAGAGCCGATCAGTGTGAGTTGCTTTTTGGTAGGATGCTCTTCCAACATTCGTTCACACCAAGGTCAGCCCATCCCCAGCTGGGAACTATCTGGTAGGAGCGACTGCCTAAAAGGACAGCGGTAAGGAGGGAAGACACACTGTTCCATCTACTCCAACAGGCATCACGGGCAAAGCGAAAGCGATGGAGATGACTGGTCTGTGGGGACAGAGGGGTGGCACTCTCACAGGGATGGCCGTGGCAAACACCGCTGAAGCCCAGAGCCACTACAACACTTGACTTCATGGCACACACAGGGGCAGTGAGGAAGGTTTACTTAACTGTTCTAGGCTGTAGCAAGGATGGTTTATGTTTGTGCTTAAAGGTGAAGAGAAGAAAAACGAGAAAAACTTTAGGTCAGATACAGAAAATGAGAATGAGCTCAATGCAGATGGTCAGTAAGCTAGACACGCCCTTGCCACTCTGTACTCTGAGGGACGTGCAGCTGGCTTTGCTGGGCCACCCCACTGCCCAGCAAACCCAGACTCGACCTTTCTAGTTTCCATCTCTACTCCAGAGAGAATGTGCAAAGCAAACCCAACGCCACCTGTAAGTCCAGCATTTCACAAGTCTCATTGCAAACACACCCAGGGGCCCAGGAAACGCAGCTCTACCTCCTAACTGGCTGACACGCTCAAGGTCAAGGCCCTAAGAGGCTCTGCAGACTTCAGCCTGGGGTCTACCCTTCCCACAAGTTCTTCTCTTCCTCCATTCCACCCTCACCTCCCTCATGTCAAAAGCTAGTAGGCTAGTCCTAAAAGGAGGAAACACAATTGAGCAACACTGCTTTGATAACAGGAATTCTTAAAAACAAACTCTCCCAGAGAAGATGCAGTTTTCTTTGGGGGTAACAGCCACCATGGCCTGTATCAGACAGCTCTGGCGATCTGGCTATCTTGCCCTCAAAGCTGGGGGTCTCTCTATGTGGGGGACAGGACATCAGAAGCTGGCAACTAAACAACCCTTTCTGATATGAGGCCACAGAGAAATAACTGCAGACCCTAGAGGAGATAGCCCCCTCTGCTCTGACTCTTCTGCCCAGACGGAGAGGCAACCAACCCCATGTTCTTCAAAGGAAGCAAGTGTGGAAAATGCTGCCCACAGTGGCTCCTAACCCAGGACTTTCCCTTCCCCCTCCCGTTTCCACCTGGGGCAGGGCGGCAGCAACAAGGGGTCAGAGTCCCCAGTTCCCAGTCCCCAAACCTTCCCAGGTGAGATCACAAATGACCCACATTTTACAAGTGTTAGCTTCCTTCCCTTCAAAACCCCAAAATGAAAAATGGCAACCAGAGTTGCAGAGAGTTGTGATTCTGTGATAATGGAACATACCCCCAGCTTATCAACTCTTAGGCAGCCCCCACAGTGCCAATCTGAAATCATTTAAAAAGCAAAGCAACTTGTGACATAAAAGGAGCATTAACTTTAAACAAAAAGTAGGAATTAAAACAAGAAAAGGAATTAGTTTTGCAACATACACATAACCAATCACGTCAGCGAAGGGTTGTTTGTAGAAAGCTTCATCTGCCACCCTAGACAGCAAGAGGTCCAAAAGGCAGGCAAGCAGGCAGGAAAAAAGAGAGAACATTGAGAAGGAGAAACATCTCAAATCCACAGTAGAGGCACAAGTGCTCTGGGGAGCTGCTCCCAAGGCTCCATCCTCACCCAGCGAAGGTTCTAGCACTGAAACTCTGCAGGTGAGGCCCCCTGCTGGCCTTCCCCACCAGCTTCTCCAGACAGTGCTGTCAACTTCACCCCCAGGCCTTACCCAGCAACTCGAGCATCTCCTAAGTATCCTCTGAGGGGCTGAGCCCTCTGACAAGACGTTGTGTCCGTTCTGTCCTCAGCCCCAAACCACCTCGGGACACTGAGTGTTCCCCCGCCTTTCACAGCTGACGTGGTGGAAGGCAGGTCTGGTGATGAAGCAAACCTGTCCGGTAGGATGTGGCAACAGGGGCATCAGAGCTCCCAGCCGAGGCCGCCTGCCTCCCCCCTGCAGTCACTGCTGCCCCCCAGCCGGTCCCCACTCGGGGAGCCTCGCCCCTTCCTGCCAGCCTCAGGAGACATCCCCGGGCACCGGTGCTGCCAGACACCAGGCACGCGAGGGCCCACAGCCAGCTTAATCTTGGATTATCCAACTGCTGCTTCCCCACATCGACTGGCTGGGACCAATTTTCTATATTCTGGGGACATACAGTCATCTCAAAATGGCACCTTGAAGGAAAAAGCAGCTGGAAGCAAGGAATGAGAGACCTGCAGACAAGGGTCCTGGCTCTGGCCCCAGTGAACTGTGGGTTCCTGAACACGACTGACTGTCCACTCGGTTCCTGCCAAACCTGACTGCTTTGACGATCTACAGCCCAGAAGCCAGCACCTCACCCCTCCTGAACTCTCACATTGGAACGGGTCAGAATGGGACCTCTGGGACGAGGAAGGGCGGTGAGCGGGGTGGAGTTGTTTACAGAGCAGGGGGCAGGCTCAATCCCTGGACTGGCCGGCCCCCCTCGCCCAGCACGGGTGGACAGGGAACCTCCCGCAAGGAGTCTTACCCTGTCCTTTGCCTGGTGAGTTTGAGGCATAGGAGTGGGAGGGAGGTTTTTAAGGACAGTCATGACTGGTCATTAACCTAAGCTCACATATTTATTTGAAGAGGAATTCTAGTAATTTATTTTTAAACTCACACAGACTCTTGCTTTACTCCCATTTTGGTTTATACATAGGAGGTGCTTTGTGGAAATTTAAAGAAAGCAAAAAGAACAGCCTGATTGTAACTCCCAAGTGAGTCAGGAGAAAAGCAGAGTAGTTTGTGGGCACAAGGAGTGGGCGGGAAAGGGAAGGCAGACCAGCTTGTAAAGCCCCAATCCGTTCAGTTCACACAAAGGCCTAACCTCATCAGTTTCAGCTTGTGTTGCCTCTACCGGGAGAGAGAAAGGTTTAAAGAAGGACTGAGACACAAGTGTGTGTCAGGCTTTTACTCTTCTGCAGCCAGCTTGGGCAGAAGGAGCTGCTGGTAACAGGACAGCACAGCCAGAACCAAGGAAAAACCACACGCGCCAACTCGGGCGCCCTCCCACCTGGACAGACGGCCTGAAAGCAGCGATCCTTAGGCAAGGCAGAAACGGACCCTGAACATGGAGGGTCAGCCAGGTTTTACCAAGTACTTAGAGCAGACCCAGCCTCAGGCAACTCACTAGGGTGCATGGGGCCTCGAACGGTGTCTGTGCAAAGCACCCACCCTTCTTTCTTCAGAATCTGAACCTGCACCTGGGGGAAGTAATCTTGAATGAGCACATGATAAAGGAACCTGGGACCATCAGCTTCAAACTAACCAGAATCTCTCAGCAGAAGCCCCGGTTAATGCTACTCTTAGCAACTCAACTCCAACCAGAGGGCAGCCCCACCATATTTGCAAGAGAACTTCAAGGGGAACCTGATAGCACGCCTGCAGACTCCATGCCCCACAGGAAGGCGGCCAGGACAGAGGCTCAAGCCTGGCGCCTAAGGGAGTGGCAGAACCGAGAATGGCCCCTGGGACAGGCGGTGAGGGCTGCCGCACACAGGCCACCACAGGGGTGGAAACTGTCTGGCAGAAGTCAGCTCCCTCCTGTCTGCAAGACTTCCACCTAAGAGCTACCAGAGACAAGGGCACAAAGGCTCTTTCCCACGAAAAGTACAAACAGCCCCAGGCCGAATCTGCTCTCTCTCTGCACTGAAGTGAGTGCAGTAACAATGAATTGACAGCCAGCTCCAGGTCTGGCCAGGGAAGCAAGCCCACTGCCTGCACCCAGGCAAAGAGCGCTGCCCCTGCCTCTCTCTCTAAGCTGCTTCCAAGTGGACTCCAAGCTCAGAGCATTTCTGGTTGGGGGTCATAGGAGAGAGACTGTGTTTACTCCCTGCATCTACTCAACCTTCAATGAGTGTGGAAATTCAGAAAAGAGCATTTTTAAAAAGTCACCTCAAGATTTTCTCAGACATATAAGATACACACCCAGAGAACCCTTAATCCTAAAGTCACTGTGTGGGAACAGCTTGGCCACCTGATGACAGAGCACACGTCCCCAGCACTGGGCCCTTTGGGGAGCAGCCCTCAGAGATCTAAGCTGTATTCAGGGGAGGTGACATGACGGAGTCTGTAATCATCTCAAGTACTGAGATCCTGGAGCAGTGATCGAAGCGGCCTTTCATTTCAGGGTGAGGTTTTTAGACATGGACTTGATCCATGAGATTATACTGCCTTCTGTGGAATCACACCATAACAGGCAGTGCAGACTAACCAAACTCCCACCTCAGAGCTAGACTCACTGCAACTAGGGTGGTGAAAAAACTGGCTGAGTTACTCTTGTAAAGACCCGAAAGGCTTGCAACTTTCACGTTTCACATATAGTTTTTAAACCTGCAAACACATTTCCCACTAAGAGAGGCGGCGGCTGAGAACCTATGCTGGCTGGTGGAGACGGACCTGACTGTACACGACGCAGCGCAGACTGACCTGTTGCTGGCTTTTGTCTTCTGGAGCTGCTCGTCCTGCCTTGCATACCACTCGTCCAGCTCCTTTATTGCTTTTTCTTTCCACTCCGCTTCCTGCTTCCGAGAATTGGCATCTTTAAGGGAAGGAAAAGAAGGACAACACAAATGAGGCAAAATGCAAATTGAAGTTCGCGTCATTCATTTGGGGCTTATTAGCCTCATGCTGTGTGCGGTGTATGTTAGAAGGCAAACAGTAGGGAATAAACGTAAAATTCTGTTTTCCTCATTTGTATGTCCAGCTCTGTATCAGCAATTCTACTCAAGCAAGGTGTTTTAGCACAATTTATCCCAGTCCACCTACACCTTAGTGGGTCACTAGTTTGGGGGTTTGGGTAGAAAGAGGTGGAGATACTGACTTAATTTTTAAAAAGGCTTTTGAGACACCAACTGGGTAAGGAGCAACTACAGATGATTCTTTAATAATGCTGCCAGGTCAGTGTGGACTCTGGCCATTAGCTAATATGAATTAGATAATTCGTATTAGATAATGTTCTAATAAAATCTCCTCACAAACTATATTCCACACCCCAAGTTGGATAATTAATGGTTTCGTGAACAGAAGGCAATATTAGAAAAACTACTAGAGGTACAGATGATTCCAGAACCAGGCAAGAGCAGAATATAGATGGAATTGAGGGGACCACAAAATATCTACTCCTGCTTAGACAGCAGAGTGAGTTTGTGGCAGAGCTAGGACAGAAGTAAAAGAGAAAAACTCCCAACGGGGAAAACTGTAGGGTGAGGTGAGAGATTGTTATTAATACTTTTCCAAAAGGTTCTAGATGAGAGAGCGCAAAAGCACACCTAGGCCTGCCACACTGGATTCTCAACCATGATCTCAGAACTAAATATGAGTTTCCCTAAGACACTGAGCTAAAGACACACGTCAGTAAATGGTAGAGAGAAAGAAATACAGGTCATCCTACTGCCACAGTTGACACCCGAAGTCATCCTAATACTTCACTTTAAGCACATTCTCAAGGATGTCTTCTCTGGCAGGTTATTTCATACACATCTCATTTAATTTTACAACAATCCCAAAAAAGCAAACTAGTCCCATATTCAGCAGTGAGAAAAACTACAGCTCGGCAAGTCTGAGGAACTATCCCAAAAGCAGTAAGTGGCCAAACCAAGATTCATACCAAGATTTGACTCTAAAGCTCACACGTTCTTACTTCATTGTGCTGTCTCCAAAGGGAGGGATGAACGGGAGGCAGACCCAACAATAGTCACAACTGTGACCAGCAGATGGGCACCAGGGATCCAGACTAGAGTCTGAACACTGGAGTCAGAGCCCAAAATGTAATGGGTGTCCTTGAGGAGAGCAGAAAGCAAACAACTTCTTGAAGGAAGAAATGATGCTTTCAGGGCAATTTTAGGGTCTTTTCAAGAAAGGTCTTGCAGTAACAACTGGCAGAACACTGTCTGTAACTACTAGAAATAGCCTTATAGCAGCTAAAAAAATCCCCCAAAGTTTCCTATTATAAAGAACTTTTACCGTTTTCTAACTTATCAGAAGGTGACCAACCTAATGCTCAAGAGAATTATTTCACTCGAAATTTTCCACTGATAAGTATGCCAGTAAACTTCTGATGTGTGTTTGTCCATGGCATTAAGTGTATGTGGAGTAGAGGGCGCTGTGATTCAGGGAGAGATGCTGTGGGTCAATGGCACCCTGTGGACATGAAAATGAAAAAAATTTAAAATACAAGGTCTCCTTTTCAGGAGTTGTGACATTATTTCCAAAAAATTAGTTTTGGCTTGTGGAGTATTTTCCCTTTGTGTCATCTAATAATTTTTTTTTAAAAGGTTATATATCTTAGAATCAAAATACGGAAATTTATCTCTGAAAAAGTAGTCAAAAACTTTCCATTTGCACAGATTATAGTTAATGCATGAAATACTGTCTATAAACAATCTTCTCTCTTTTATAGATTTAAGAAGTGACACTGGCAATAAGAATTTAGAGTTCTTAAATGCTTAGCTTGATGGAACAAAGATCCAAGCTGTAATACCACCTCTTTCCATCTGGGAGGGAGAAGGTGGAGCAGGGTTCACTGACAGCTGTCTTCTCTGGTCATGCTCGTTACTGTTCACAGGATATTACTGGAAAACACTTCCCACAGCTAAGCTGAAAACCATGGATACTGCTCATCTATTTTTAGCATCTTGTACTTTCTCATAGTTCTTGCAAGGGAAAAAGGTGAAACTGCAGAAACACCTAATTCATGGACCAACTTAATTCGATTCCATTGGAATATGAGGCCAAATATTTGACTTCCCTCAGGAAGGCATCTTAAGAAAACAACACTTTGTGGAATATTCCCAAAGAGCCCAAACTGTTAACTGAAAAAGAAAATCAAATTTTCCCACACACCAAAGTGTACTCTTCTCCATGTACAAGTCAACTTTGCTAAACTTTGGGGAAAGAGAAAAGATATATCTGAGTTCTGCAACACGAAAAGGATTCCAGTAGCAATAACAGTTGCTAAGTAAGTCTTGCCTCAAAGTCTACTCAGAAGAGATACTTGAAGAATAGCAAGGGGCAAGGCTGCCAGCACCATGAAGACCAATCTTCACCTTTTTAAAACTATACTATCCAGTACAGTGACTACTAGCTTCATGTGGCTATTTAAATTTATTAAAGTCAAATAAAAATTTAAAATTCAGTTTCTCAGTCATACTAGCCACAAGCAGCTAGTGGTTACCATACAGAATAGCACTGATACAGAACATTTATATCATCAAAGAAACTACTATTGAATAATGCTGAGAGATTAAGTGTGCCCGCTGTTTGGAAAGCCACATAAATTATGCTGGAGAGACACTAACGGGCTGTATTATATGGGTCAAGTCCTTTCCTGTTTCTAGGTGTCAGTTACACCATCTGAGTCATGTTTTCACTAGTTCAGTCATTCTCAAGAAGGAATTATAATGCTGACACGGTGGTTACAGACACATATTGCTATTTCTAGATGTACAATAAAATATTTATGCATAAAGTATCTGGTGTCTATATCTGAATGGATCAGAAAAAAAATTATGTGTATATTCACAACACACATATAAATGTGTGGGCATGTGAGTGGGCTTCCCTTGTGGCTCAGCTGGTAAAGAATCCGCCTGCGATGCAGGAGACCTGGGTTCAATCCCTGGGTTGGGAAGATCCCCTGGAGAAGGGAAAGGCTACCCACTCCAGTATTCTGGCCTGGAGAATCCCACAGACTGTATAGTCCATGGGTCGCAGAGTCAGACACAACTGAGTGACTTTCACTTCACTTTCACATTCGTGTATAAAACATATACAGGATTTCCCGGGTGGTCCAGTGGTTAAGAATCCACCTTTCAATGCAGGAGACGTGAGTTCCATCCCTGGTTGGGGAATGAAAATTCCACATGCTGCGGGATAACTAAGCCTGTGTGCCACAACTAAAACCTGCCACAGACAAATATTTAAATACTGAAAATAAAAACAAAAAACCTACACACACACCTCATTTATACAAAGACAGCCCACTACGGCAGAATGTTCACGACTGAACCTCAAGGGAGGGGCACGTTTTACTCTCACTGTGTTTGAAATTTTAATAAAAAGTTGAGAAGAGAACTCCATGGTTGACACCCCTGCCCCAACACCTTGTCAACACCCAGGGGTAGATACCAAGTCTCCTGTAATCCTGACCCACAGCCGGCGCTCCATGGAGAAGGCCTGTCACCAGAGGTCAGGCTGACTGGAGGCCTCAGGCTTCGCCCACACGATGCTATCAGCCGAGTGCAGTGCTGATGAGACGGGCATGGATCCGGAAGCAGGGCAGACTCAAGCTGAAATTCTGACTCTAGCACTGTTAGCTGTGTGATTCAAACACTTACTCTTCCTATGATCCTTTTCCTCACCCATAAAAATATAAGAACTCACAGGGATGTTTTAGGGTAAGAAGACCCAACTATACATATTTCCTAACATTACTCACATTTTCCTCTTAAGCATTACCTTAAATTCAGCCTTCAAATTGTCAACGGACTGTGCAGTCCCTCACATGGATATAACATCTTCAGGTTTATGAAGCACATTCACATATTCCATCTCAGACTACCCTTGGGGTTGGTAACACTGATCTTACTTCACAGATGAAGAAACGGGCTCTAAGGTTTGAGCAACCAAGTGCCCTCAACTAGTAGAGTTATGGTTCGGCCTGGAACCCAGTTTTTCACTCCAAGACTCTTTCCACAGCACCACTCTGCCCTTCCAGAGAAGAGAGGATGCACTTGTAACTCTCTGGGCTTGTAATGAAGCATCTCCATGTAGGTGGTGTTGTGACCTTCTCACTGTGAAAGATACCCTCCCCAAAACTGCACAAGGACATTTCGGCTAATTCGAGTTAAAAATGGATAACAGCAGAGTCAAGGTCAACTATTCCACTGAAAACAGACACCCAAAGACAGAAAGGGATTCCTTACCAAGGGCTTCCAAGCGTTCCGTCTGCTCTTCTCTCCATTTTCGGATACTTTCAGGCTCTGACTGCAATCGATCCACTTGTGAAATAGCTGCGTAACTGTCTGTCGGCCCATTACTCTCCTTAACAGAAAACACAGTTGTGCTCTATCAGTACCAAAATCTCCTCCCAGATATGCCCTTCACCCAAGTCAGAACCCCTGGTTACGGGCCACACTGACAGCTGCTCTAGATGCAAAGGAGCAACGGCAGCCTTACATGCTGGTAGGACGCTTTCAACGCCATGCACTCAAGCCTTACAATCCACAAGGGAGGCAGAGTAGTTGTCATCCGGCCACTAAACGAGACATGAGTGGGAGACAGCAAAGTTGGGGAAGTGGGTAATGGACTTACTAGGAAAACAGTATTATCAATTTTGTTTTCCTTACTTGACACAGAGGCTGTAACACCGTCAAAGTAACAAAGGTAAATACCCAGTACAGTAAGGCCTAGAACCTGACACTTCCAAGTGCTTACTATACAATTCAGGAAAAAGTTCCCTTAATACCACCTAGTCAAAATACAGTGAATTCTGGGGAAAAGAGAGTCAAAAGAAAATGCATAGCACAGTCACACCAAGAAAAAGAAAAAAAGGCAGGCAAATGTGCATCACAGTGTATGTGGCAGGGGGTAGGAGGGAGCGGAGGGGTTGGGGCTGACTCTTCCTTATAGTGGTTAAGACTGGGGAGCTAGTAAACAAATTGATTAAGATTCAAATGGAATCTAATCTTTAGAGAATTATTTCACCTACTGAACTAGGAATATTACCAGCTTAACCTCAGCAGACCATAAACAAAGATGGCAAGCAAACTATTTACAGTAGTATTTACTTATTATTAGCACCTTCCATGTTTCAGCCACATAAACCTTTTATCTCCCAAACACTTTGCAAGGCAAATTTTTATTCCCATGGCACAGCTGGAGGGTTAAACCGAGACCCAGGTAAATGAAATGTCCAAATTCATAGCTAGTAAGAAACAGAGTCAGGGCTGAACCCCATTTCATTTCCCTCTAAAGGCCAAGCTCTAAACCAGGGTTTGGAAACTATAGCCAGCTCAGCCACCTGTTTCTATAATTAAATTTTATTGAAATAGAGCCATGCCCATTTATTTACATACTGTCTATGGCTTTTTCATGTTATAGCAACATAATAGTCTGACAGAGAACTTACGCTCTACAAAGCTTAAAATGTTTACTATTAATATCGGTCCTTTCCAGAAAAAGTTAGTCCACCCTTGGCTTAAACCAATTAAGACTAATCTCATCCTCCTTGACAGTTAACTAGTTAAGGCTGTGCAGAAGCCCAGGCAGAGGCAACGCACCACGCTATCTCCCTGGACCTCAGTGATTACTTCCATCTAGTCGAAAGGGAAACAGAGGACTCTTGTTGCGTGGTTGGGAGAAACCTCCATGCTGCTCTAGACGGCATGACATGCACGTGTTGAGACCTGGAAGTGCTTGCAGTCATTCTGCCAACATGAAAGAGTGTAAAACTGCAGTCAGCTAGCGGAGCCAGAATCCTAGAGGAGCCGAGTTGGAATCCTGGTCTGAGGACCCCTGGCCTATCAGAGTTCTTCCAGTTACATGAAATAGTAAATTCTCTGTATTTAAGCCCACGTCAGGTTGGGCTGGTGGGCTTCCCCGATGGCTCAGTGGTAAAGAACCCGCCTGCAATGCAGGAGACACAGGAGTCCCTGGGTCAGGAAGATCCCCTGGAGAAGGAAATGGCAACCCACTTCAGTATTCTTGCCTGGAGAATCCCATGGACAGAGGAGCCTGGCAGGGTACAGTCCATGGTTTCACAAGAGTTGGACACAACTTACTAAACAAGTTGGGCTGGTAACCAAAAGCTCAACAACACAGAGGGAAAATAATGGCAGTCATCACAAACACCAGCCACCCCTACCCTCACTATAATCTAAAAGCTAAGTTCAAATGTCAGTCCTACCACAGACTACCTTTGTTACTTTCAAACTTCTGGTTTCACCTCTGTATGCCTTGTGTGTAAATGGGAATAACAATAGCATAGATCCCTCAGGTTGCTGTGAGAATCAGAAGAAAATTCAGTACAAACAGTGTTTGACACTGCACGGCACACTGTCAGCCACGTCGTCACTGCCGAACCATCATGATTGAAGGGTCATTTCTTGAGAATAAAGTTGGTAATGCTAGGGCCAGGCCAATCACATTTTAAAAGAATGCTCTAACAATGTCTCTCTTCAAATCCTTCCACTTTGGCAGGTAACATACCAGTTACTAATACACCCAGGAAAGTCAAAGGAGTGGCATCCTTTCTAGGTCAGTCAATTCAAATCACAGAGAAGGAAGACTCTCAACAATATCATTCAACATTATCAGAACTGTTGCACAGAGTCTGTACCTGATAGTATTCTCCATTCGTCACTCCATCAACAGCATCTACAAGACATAAGATTTCAATCTGTCAGTGAGTGCTAGTCAAATACTGGGCCAAAGGGTTACAAGGTATGACACAGTATTACGTGTTTTATGTACTCTAAGTTACTAAACACTATCCCCATGCGAGATACCAGATAGAACAATGGACAACTTTCTATTCAATAAAACCAAGATGTGCTTATACACAAATGACTTTACCAAAATGTGGACAAATCTGTCTAAAAGCTTTCCATGACTATCTTCTGGCTTACAGAGATAATACTTAGAAGCCTGGCAGAAGAGCCTCACAGAGCAAGTTTCTCTATGAAGGTTCTAGAGAAGGAAAAGGTATGAAAGGGTGGCCTAGAATCCTTCACAGCAAGCAGAGATATGCAGCTTCATGTTTCAACCAAGGTGCTTTCTCGGGGGTCAGGACTCTCCATCCTTTGGCTGGAGCAGGTTTGGCACCTGAGGGTCTATAGCTGAGACTTCTTGCTAATTCCTCTAGTTCTCTCGGCATTAGTCCAGAACAGTAAGATTTGGGCATATCAAAATAAAATCAGTGTTTTCAAGGATGCAAGTTACAAAAACTCAAAGTATATACAATCTGATCTTATTAGCACAATTAATTACTCATGAGCTAAATGAGAAAGTCCATCTCAGAAATACGAAAAATGTCTAACACCTCAAGATTTTCAATCCATACAGTATAAAATTGGAGGTCCACAGGCTGAAAATATTTTTCTTTAAAATACAAAGTACTTAATCAGGAAATTCCACAAAATCAGGATTTGCAGTGCTTCTGTGTGTGCATGTATGTGTGCGGCGTGTGCGTGTGGCGCGGGGGAGGGTGTGCAGACAAGCTGTGGCAATCTGGGGCCTGCACTCCTTAAATGAAGGAGGCCTGATGTGCAGCTTGCTCCGGACCACCTGCCAGGCCCCACTGGCCCCGTTTTATGTTTTTAACCCGTTCTGTGTGTCACTAAGTCAAGGTACCCGGTTGGTCCAATAACCACGCGTTTCTAATCCACACCCTGACCCAGCAGCTCTCACTGAGAGCCTGTGCAGGGCCGCAGAGCAGCCCTTCAGAGCGGCTGCTCTGCCTTCCCTTGAGAGCTTCAATACAGGCACCATAAAGATGCTGTGTCCACTCGCATATTCTACATACTCTTTACTGCTGGCTGACTTATCTTTACTGCCTACTATGCAGGACTTGTAGTATTTTGTCCAACTGTTTTCAAACTACCATGACTATGTTACTGTGTAAGAGAGAAGAGACGCACCTAAAAGATACAAGAACCCAAGCAGTAAAAGGAATGCAGAGAGCTAGTGTGAGCCACCACCACAAGGCCCTCAGAAACATCAGAGCTTTTCCGCGCAGCCAGAGGCAAGGTGCCCTCAGCCACATTCTTTCCTTTGAACAGGCAGAGATTGCAAAACACTCCTCCAGTCTTCTTGGTTTCTAACTATAATAATTAAATCCAGCTTAACTGCCTATTTTCCAAATCAACTTCATTCTCTTGCTTCTCCCAATTACCCTATGCTTGGCTCTGGGAGTATTGAAAACTTCCATTTCCCCACTTTAAAAGAAAAGGAAAATGGAGACAAAAGAAAAGGCCACATAATTTCATTACTCAGCCTACTGGTTTCTTTTTTTTTTTTTAGTTTATCTAATGCATATACATAAAATTTCTTTGAGCAAAATTAGACTCCTATAACAGATGCTTTTAGTAATCCATTTATATCATTAAATTCTCAAGTTTTTAAGTATGAAAACACCCACTATTGCTTCCAATGTGCGAGGCACAATGTTAATTAAACACTTTCTATACATTAAGTTTTAATCCTCACAACAAATCTCTAAGTATCAGCAATTCACAAATGACCTTAAAATATGTGTATGGCTGGTTCCTTGAGAGGTAAGTAAGGTGTTCTTGAAGGAGCAGGTAACTGGTGACAATGTTTTCCCTCTTAGATTTACTTTTGAGTTGGAGCATACTTTAAAATTTTTGCTAAGGCGACAGCAGGATAAAAACATTAGGGTGCCCTTGTTGCGCCAAACTTCTATCCTAAGGAAATCACCTGACACGTGAATTTCTTCTTTACTAAACTGCCTGAGCTTTGCCCATTTTTCTGCTATCTTTTGATCTCTAAGTATTCTTTCTGTATTAATTATTTGTTCTCTCACATTACAAATATTTTCCCAATTATCTTTTTGTATGATTTAGAATAGTTAATACCTAGAACTACTTAACTTGTATGAGACATTATCAGGTTTTTTTCCTTTATGAGTTCTCTATCTCTTCTTATGATGAAGGCCTTTCCTACTCTTAGGAAAATAAAAAGGTATTTACTTTTCTTCTGGTACTTAAAAAAAAAAAAACCCTCTCCTCCATGCACTTAAGAGTTTATTTTTGTATAAAATTTATAAAGCAAAGTAACTGTAAATCTTCAAGCCTCAATGGCTAGTCCAGCCAGGCCTACTTTCTGGTTAATATATTATAGTTAACATAACAATTATCCAGTTAATATATTTCAACCCAGGGCCACTGGCAGTAAGAGAGACTTTGATCACTACTCCAGACACAACAATTCTCATCCCATAGCTCCAAGTCACATGCTGCTTGTCCTTTAGGTCTGAAGACTCACCCAGCACTGGCAAGTCCTTTGAGCTTTCATTAGTTACTCTTCTACTGTACTTACTGACATTCAGCTGACTCAAATGAAAGGCCTGTCTGTTGCTATAGAAACATGCAAAAGAAAGGCCACCCCAGAGCCTTCATTCATTATGAAACTTTCTAGGGACCTCACACAGAAACAAGGGCCAGAATAAGTTTCCAGAGATGAAAGACTATCCCAAACCCTCTTCAACTTTCATTTTCCCCAACCACTGGAAGTCAGGCAGACCTGGGTCTGAATTCCTATGGAGTCATGTATTAGCTTACCACTTTCTGAACACTGCTTAATTTCCACAGAGATCAATTCTCACCTGAAACAGAATGACACCACCACTCTACCTGCAGTTACTGCATGGATCTGAAAGGACAGGGCACCTGGGGCACTGCAGATGTGCAGTATAACTAAGTATCATGCCTGCAATTTCCCTGAACTTTCCTCCACCACTGCTACCAAGAAAATCACTCTCCTTAAATTTACGTGCCTCTCTCACCGTGAGTGCCTCACTGCCTTACTCTCTCAGCAGCTCCCTGATCGCTTCTCTTCTCCTCCTCCATCCTTAGCCCTCACGATTGAGGGCTTTTCCTCAGCTCTAGACTCTGCCTTTTCCTGACCATTTGTTCTTCCTCAGTATCCAGGAGCCACTTCACTCAGCTGGTTACCTCCCACCTCTGAACTTAGGTTCTTCTCCTCATCTCCTAACAACTGAGGGCAACATCCAAGGTTCAAGCCTAGCCCCTCCTTCATGGAAGTTTTCCCCAAGTCTGCGGGAGTTTGGATATGTTCCTGTTTCCTCAGCCTCTGTAGTGCCTCCTGCCTGTATAGCTCTGCACATTAGATACAGAGTTCCCTCTTAAAATGTTTCCTCAATGCACCCCAAAGCCTATCAGTTTTCTAACACCCTTCTCAGCCCACTCCCAAGGAAGAATGTGTATACACATTAGAAGAATGTGTACAGTAATAACATACTAGGTTCTCTGTGTAAGCACTCTGCAGATGCTCTCCAATATAACCCAACCCTGTGTGGTGTTTATCTGCATCTTTTACAAAGAAGAAAACAGAGGCAGGGCAGTAGCGGTGGTTATATAAGCTGTGTGAGACCACAAAGCTAAACTCACCCTCAAGCAGTCTAGGCCAACACAGAATCTTAACCACTAGAGACAGAGAAAGAGCGAGAGCGAGAGAGAGAGAGGAGGGAAAAAGAGAGAAAAAGAAAACATGTCCAACTAGTGTTCTAATCCCTAAGGGAAGTGCTGACCACTGCACTGTTTTGTTTTTTCCTGACCACTGCACTATTACCAACCTCAACTACACTGTCAAGAGATCTGGCTTTAAGTCTCCGAATGCTTAGTTCACTAAGAAAGTCCTTCCTAGGAACTAGGTCAGCAATCACCCCTTCCTTCCCTTTGCTGAAAGCTTGATGACCAAGGGATCCGCGTGTCCAATTAATACTCTTTCCCTTTTACCTCTCCAAACTGCCATCGCCAAGATCTGCCATTCTATCCAGGACCGCTTCAGCTGACGTTTTTGCACCTTCCTGAGTACATACGGTGAGCCTGCCCGCCCTCCTACTAACTGGTCTGTGTAGGCTCAGATTTGCCTTAAGTCTGGCCCAACTGCGCCAATGCGGTTGCGCCTCTGAGGCCAAGCTCAAGGCACAGCAACTGCTCAAGGAAAAGTTCCTGAACTGAATGGGCTTCCTCTGGCTCCTAAGCTTGTCATCCCGTTTTCCTGGCTTCTTCGGCCCGTCCGTGCCCAAGCGCGCTCAAGCACAGTCTTCGGACCGGCCAGGCCTGCCGAGCCTGGGTTTCCGCATGACCGAGCCAGGGGCTCGCTTCCTCTTCGCACTCCTCAACCTCCCGGACGGAGAGGCACCAGAGTTACACAGAGCTCTCAGACCCACTGTGGGCCGAGTTTCCGGGGCAGCGCTTCCGCCCGGAAAGCACCCGCACTCACCTGGAACCCCCGGCGGCTCGCCGTGAGGCTGGGGTCCGGGGGCGCCGCCGTCCAGGATGGCGAAGGCCTCGTCGTTCTCGATGCCCGCAATCTCGCTCTCCTGCTGCGCCAAGAAGGCCGCGGCAGGGTCCTCTTCGCCGGCCACTCCGTTCCCCAGGGCGGAACCGCCAGCGGGGACGCCGAACGGATCCAACTCAGCCATGGCGGGAAGTTCGACGGCACCGACTTTCAGAGAAACACCAACCGAACAGCAGACACGGCGTCCGGCAGCGGCCGCTGTGCTTGCGCCTGCTATCAGACACAAGCTGGATGTGGGAGAAGGCGGAAGCGGAAACCCGGCCCCAATATCCGGCCGGTCCAGGCGGTGTTGGAGAGCCGAAAAGGTAATAACCAATCAGAGGGCAGAAGTAGCTCCAGAGTTAACCAATCAGCAAGAGGAGAGGCGGGCCCCGAGTAAAACTCGTGACTCGGGAAGCACCTGCGTGGATGGTGCTGAGCCGAGCCAGCACTGGGCAGGCGGAAGTAGTGCGTGATTTAAGGTAGCTTTGCTTGATCCGGCTTTGGGGCTGTACTGACCCGGGACCGCCATCTCGGACGGGACTCGCTTGCTGAACTGGGAAGTGAGGTGAAAGTTAGGGCGGCGATGATTGGCCGATTGGAGAAGAGTCAAGCCACGTAGGCTTTCTGAATACCAGTTTCCTCATTTGAAAAATAGGAACAAGAATCCTGCACTACCTCCCTCCTAGGATTACTGGGAAAACTGAATTCTTTTATGGCTATGTACTGGCTTTCTTTAAAAAAATAAGTGTTTGTTAACCCGTTCACTCCTTCTGGGTGGTTTTCTCCCTTAGAGCCTCCTGACTTAAATGTAATCAATTCAAATCCACTCTGACTTTTCTCCCCCAAGGTATTATTATGGGGCTTCCCTGGTGGCTCAGATGGTAAAGAATCTGCGTGCAGTACAGGAGACCCAGGTTCAATCTCTGGGTCAGGAAGATCCCCTGGTAAAGGAAATGGCAACCCACTGCAGGATACTTGCCTAGAAAGTATGTTTTTCTGGAACTCTCTTGCTTTTTCAATGATCTAGCAGATGTTGGCATTTGATTTCTGGTTCCTCTGCCTTTTATAAAACCAGCTTGAACATCTGGAAGTTCACGGTTCATGTATTGCTGAAGCCTGGCTTGGAGAATTTTGAGTATTACTTTACTAGCATGTGAGATGAGTGCAATCATGCAGTAGTTTGAGCGTTCTTTGGCATTGCTTCTCTTTGGGAAAACTCTTCTAAATCTCTTCTAAATCTTAACCAAATTCCTTACCTGAGCTCCAAGCCACCTCCCCTATGAAGTCATCCCTAAACCCCTCAGTGGATTTCCCCAATTTTGATTGTATAAACACCTGTTGACTTTGCATGATGAGAGATGGTTCCTCCTTTAGCGAGTGACTCTCCGGATGGCTTCCCCAGAGTTATGCCCTTGCCTCCGAAAGAATGCTGTTTGTCCCTCAGCTACCACTGCTGTAAGCAGCCAAAGGTTGTCTTCCTTAGACCCTCTCAGAGTAGTCCCTTTTCCTTATCCCTGTAACAGGGGCAGGATATATTGTTTCAAAGAGAAGATGCATATGAAACTGCTTCACGCATTGTTGCCAATTTATGTTAGAGATGAGCCAATATATGTTCAGGAATGAGCATTAAAACAAAAAGGGGGGAGGGAATTGAGTTTGGGTAAACTCCGGGAGTTGGTGATGGACAGGGAGGTCTGGAGTGATGTGGTCCATGGGGTCACAAAGAGTCGGACACGACTGAATGACTGACCTGAACTAAACTAGAGGAGTTACTCCTGGTGGCCTAATACTACACTTGGGTAAGGTTTCATAGCTTGGCGTGTTTGGGGAACAGAGAGTAAGTTAGTTTCATCGGGCCTGAAGGACTTAAGAAGAAGAATAATTGAAGGTAAATTTAGAGACATATGCTGGGGCCCTGAATGCTAATAAAAGAAAGAGTCTTATTAGCAATAGGGAATTCTGGAAGGTTCCAGAAAAAGGAATGCTTTGATCAAGGTGCTACTTAGGAGATTGATGTTGTCCCTATGTGCAGGATAGATAGGGGCAGAGGCTGTGGGAAAGAAGTTGAGGAATGACATGATCAAGGTCCAGGTGGGGCAACAGTACAGAGCTAGATGGGGAGCATTGATGGGCAGTCCCTACTACCACAGGAAGTAGGGCCTGGGAGAGATGCAAGGAGGAAAGAATGATCACAAAGCATATCTGCAATCACCAAAGCCACTAGTTTACTGCCTCTGGGGAGTTCCGGTGATTGACAGGAGACAGAGAAGACCTAGGAGATACACAGGAGGTAGCTAGACGTCTACCCGAGGAGGGGAGCTCCTGGCCTGGAATGGGAGAGATGGGGAGAGGGGAGTGTGGGGTGACACAGCTGGGAAGAGCTCTTGGTTCTGGGGAGAGGCAGAGATGAGACTGCCCAGGGCCCTTCCTCAGCACTCTGCCAAAGCCCGACCAAGGGCCGCATGGCGACGTCTGAAGGGCCTTTGTTGAGAGAGTGATACCCAGAGCTCACTCTCAAAAGCCAGAAAGGATCTGATCCAGAAGAAGGGTGGCGAGAATTGCACGGGTGCTAAGTCGCTTCAGTTGTGTCTGTCTCTTTGCAACCCCATGGACTATAGCCCAGGCTCCTCTGTCCATGGGGTTTTCCAGGCAAGAACACTGGAGTAAGTTGCCATTTCCTCCTCCAGGGGATCTTCCCAACTCAGGAAGCGAACCTGTCTCATGCTGTGGCAGGCGGGTTCTTTACTTTACCACTAGTGCCACCGGGGAAGCCTTACAAATTACTACACGATCGGGCAGATGGTGGTGCAATAGGAGTGTGAAGAGGACAATGGCGAGCAAGCAAAGAACTGAAAAGAGAGAAGGGAGGCAAGTCGTATTTGATTGAGAAGTCCTAGAAAAGTTTCATACGGAGATAAGTTCAGTGTCTGTTTTTCCCACTAGACCTTTAGGGGAGGGCAGGGGCCACGTACGCCTTACTTACCTTCGTATTCTCAGGGTCTCGCATTATGCCTGGCACCTAGCGAGTGTTCAGTAAATATTTGCTGCTGGGCTTAAATAGCGCTTGAGATGGGTCTCAAAGGAGACAAGTTGTTCAATATATATGTGATGGAGAGGAAGAAAAGGCAGGCTATCCTCTGGAAAGTGATTTGGCTAGATGATGGAAGAGCAGGAAAGTAAATGGGTACAGCTGAAGAAACTCTGTGGGGGTGAAATCATGGAGGGCTTGAGTGCGAGGTAAGAGTTATTATTAAATTTGCAGAAGCTGTGAGGAGACTTTTAAAGATTTTCCCCAGCCAGGGACTCAGTCAGAACCCTCTTCTGGAAGAATCTTCTGGCAGCTTAGGCAGTTAGCCTAGGAGAGGATTCTGAAAGCAGAAAAAACAGTTAGGAAAGACTGCTTCTGTGGCTTAGGAGGAGAGGCAGGGGGCCAAGGATGATAGGTAACAGATCCTAGGTCACAGAGCAGTGGGCTTAGGTGGAAGGAAAATAATGCAGATAATATACGTAGTATTTGGTAAGTGGGAGGCAGAAGCAGAGATTAATATTTACAATGTATTAGAAATTAAGTCCCTTGCAACTAATTAAGTTTTGAAAAATTTTAGATGTCACTTTAAAAATACACAAGAAACATGTAGATTTTAAATAGTTCTCTTAGGAAGGGTACTTTTTGTCTTGTTTTGAGTTCATGGTGATTCTCTTGACTCTGTGGTTTGATTTTCTTTACCAATTTGGGAAATTCTTAGCCATTTTCTCTTCTGCCATTTTTCTTTATTCTCCTTGCTAAAATTACACTATAAAACCTATCCCTCATATCTCATTTTTTAAAAAATGTTCTTTTCTGTGTTTTTAGGAGGCAGAAAGAGGAGAGAGGAGATTCACAGATAACTTTTATAGCCTGGAAAACCGTGAACAGAAATAGCCACAACAGGAAAAGCCGGTTGTGTGGAATGGGGAAGGAGATGAGACAAATGAAGAGGTCAGGTGTGGATGTATTGAGCACAAGGGACCCGTGAGATATTCAGGAGACATTCCACAGGATGTTGGAAATCTAAGTCTGAGGTTCGGGAGAGAGGAGGATCTCATTGCAGCAGTGGTGGGCAAGTTACTTAATAGTGGTTAGACATAGTTGAAAAGAGAATGAGTGAACCAGAAGATAGAGCAGAAAAATATCCAAGCTGAAACAGAACCAAAAGGATGAAAAACACAGAAAAGATTGTTTTTTAAAAAGCGGTATGTGAGGGTAAAGGAAATCAAACCAGAGCCAAGAGAGTCAGCATGAACTCCAAGCAAGCTAGAAAGTACCCTCCCTGAAAAAACTGTTTAAAATGTACATGCCTCTTGTGCATTTTTTAATTGACACCTAAATTTTTTCAAAACTTAATTAGTCGCAAGGGATATAATTTCTAATATATTGTAAACGTTGATCCTTTCAAATAAAATTGTTGCATTGCTTTTTTAAATGTATCTGGTGGCATCTAAATACCATAGTAATTTTATACTCACCATAATCCATTTTAAAATGATAGCTTTTCATTAAGAGATTTCAGATTCTTACTTTTGCTCCATGAACGCATATTCCAACACTTGCCCCATCTTCCTGATAACAAAAATATGTAATACAATTAACTTTTTAAAGTACCCCATTACTATAATAAAGCTCTGAATGTTAAAATTTAGTTTTGCATTGACAACATTATTAGCAGTATACATTTAATCAAAGCAACAAAATAAACCAGAAAATTTTATAATTACTAAATATGAAAAGTAAAACTTTATTAGGACTTCATGTCTTAAAATATCTTGATGGGCTTGTATTATCTATTGCAGTGTAGTTAGAAATTAGTGCCTTAAAATAACCAACATTATTTCTTGCAATTTCAGAGGAATTGTAATTTCAGGAATCTAAGGGGGCTCTTTCATGAGGTGGCTTCACGTGGCTGTTGTCAGGAAGCCTCAGTTCCTTGCCACATGGGCCTCTCTAAAAGAGTTGCCCATGACACAGAAGTTGACACCCTCCAGAGTGAGTAATCCAAGAAAGAAAGAATGAGCAGGACAGAGGCATGGTATCTTTTTAATAACTTTATTGAGATAAAATTGACATACCATATAATTCACCCATTTAGAGGTATACAGTTCAGT